ACCTTCTTGATTCCCACTATGTCTACATTGATTACCATGGAATGGCCGGTGGATGCGATTCTAGAAACGCAGGGATTGCAAAGGCCCTGAAACCAAGCGAGACAATCACCCTACCTAGGAAAAACTGGAAAGTATCTGAGAGAGAACATCACCGAACCTTCATAATGTCGCAGGCGATGATGTTAGATGCGCTGACGATGGACGTTTATCGCAATCTTGAAGGTATCGAAGACCAAGGTCTTGATGTTAAGTGGGCTTGCCTTTTCATCCTTCCGGTTGGAAGTCTCTATGCTAATTGCGTTTTTTTCTTGAAGCTTTACTGCTTTGAGTTTCAAGAAGCTATATGTGATCGGCCGTAAACAGTATGCTACTAAGCCGGAGGGCGCGGTCACTGTTGGACCGAGAACCGAGCATTTGCCAATCATATCATATACCGGGGTATGTACAATCCACACACTCGTGGCTTCTTCCGCCCTACATTCGGTGACCATCCGTCTAAGATTCTCCAGTGGTATGAGAGACAAAACTGGAACGAGTTCCTCGGAGAGACCCTCAGCGTAATGCTGGGACAGCTTGCCCAAAATATGACCGTTCGGACCGGCAAAGCAGGTGTTCAAGACCAAGAAGCCTTCGTGGTGGGGTTCCATGGGCCTCATGTTCATATCGCTCGGGCATCATTTGCCGCTGATTTAGTTGCGAGAGTACACCCAAGAGGATGTTCAAGAGACGAAGTTATTGAACTGAAATTCACACGTGGCTATGACCTCTCTCTGAAGAAAGATTGGCTCGACGCTACACGTGCTTTGGCGAGACTGTTTCGATATCTTCTCAGTGGACGCGCGAAGGTTGCTGCGGTACAGGGCTATTTGAATCGGCCATCTAATACAGCAGGGAAAAGTATGTAGGCTGCTGGTATTGTCTTTGAACTATGTTCAAGAGGGTATTGGCCTGGAGCTATACTTGTTATTAATTCCCAAGACTAATTTATGCCATGTAGCGACATGAAAAGGTTTCTTTACAATCTTTCCGCTGGTGTATAGTAGAACACAGAGGGTACTAATCGAGCATGAAGAGAAGAAATTAGAATCTACAATTTAGTTGCATTCTTGCTATCCGACGATTCGCAGTATCTTGCCATTCACCCAGTTTCTACTGTCCCTTTTCAAGTTGTATGTTTCTGAATGACAACGATGCAAACCCTCGAGTAAACGGACAAGGCACACACATGCACCCACCTATACTAACCAATACAACTATAAACTTCAATTCTAGCTTGTATATGTACGGGAGCGTTACATTCTGTATTACGCTAACAGGGTACAGCCGGCAACAGGGTCCACTCCGCAACAACATCTTCCAATGCAAATGTGTGGCAGTACATACGTTAGTACATCAACCCTATTACTTTCTCTTCTGAGTCACACTCCTTCACCAGAGCACTGCCACTGCCTACAGCAGCATATCTACCCTCGAAAGGCTAAAAGATCACCGAATCATTAGAACTCCCTCCACGAAATCTAATCGATCCCAAGGAAACAACCCAACCCACAATGCCCCAAACCACAACCACTCAGGAAGTTCCAAGAGTAGGCATCGGTGCCTTCATCCTCAACAAGAAGGGCGAAGTTCTCCTAGGCAAGAGAAAAGGCAGTCATGGCGCAGGTAAGCCTTGTCTCTAAACTTCCTAAATCCCCGGCTTCACGCGTCCCAAAAAAAACGTCATTTTGCATGTAAGGCTTCACTCGACCATATACTCAAAACTAACATGGTAAACTCAGGTACCTGGGCTTTAGCCGGAGGTCATCTCGAATTCGGCGAGACCTTTGAAAACTGCGCCGAACGGGAGGTCTTGGAAGAGACCGGTCTGACTATCTGTAACGTCCAATTTCTGACAGCCACTAATAATGTCATGCGGGATGAGAATAAGCATTATGTGACTGTTTTTGTGAGTGGAGAAATTTATGGTGATGCTCTGGAGCCGAAGGTGAGTTCATGCATGTTTTCTCTCCTTTTTTTGGTGGGTTGGTCGGTGTATGAGTGAGCTGAGTTTTGGGACAGTTGATGGAGCCGGAGAAATGCGAGGCGTGGGAGTGGGTGGCTTGGGAGGAAATTGTCGCGTTGGCTCAAGACGCCATGGCTGGGAAGGAGAGTGGGGAGAAGAAAAAACTGTTTTCGCCGCTGGTGAATTTGGTAGAACAGTGGCCTGGATTTCGTCCAGTCTTGAACTAGTAGCTGGGGCTTTCATTCGAGTGCTTTCAATCCTTCTAATGGTTTTTATGAGATCCTTTCAAAGTATATATGGGTTTGATAAATGATGATGATGAGTTCTAAGTTTCAAGTCACCGAGAGTTCCACATATACTTATTGATCAATTCTTTTTCTCCTTCTTCTTTTTACAAAAAACAGTGGGTCATTTCATCATAATGGTTGATTTCGGAGTTTCTACATGCTATATACAATCCCTTCTCTGTGAATGCTGGAATAAAACAAGAACTTGGTATCTCTCTAACCATGTAAATGCAACCAACAATATAGGACACGCAGACTTTTGGCCCACCCAAAGAGAAGATATAAAAATGAAATTTATCATAGATCCGCAGGCATAACAGGGTATACAGGTCATTAACATCACTGAACGGGAAAAACGAGCGAGTACAAGAAAGGCAACTACCAACCACCACCGATCTTCCCGGCCAACTCAACGACGCGGGTAGTATCAATCGGGGCATCCTTGGGTTTGCCAACATCGCTCTCAACCTCACGATAAGTCGTATAGACAAGTTTCGAAAGAGGAATCTTCATCAGGTCAGACCAATACCGAAAAGCTTCATGGACCCTAGCTTCCCTCTCAGGGATGGTGAGTGGCTGTGCCTGACCCTCCATTTCGCCTTCGGTATCAGAATCTGCAGAGAAGTATGCTTCGTCGACACGAGCGAGCCAGGCCCGCTGCTCGTGCGGGGTTGGCTTTGATGGGTTCTCTGTGGCTGTTACGGACGGTGTGCTAGAACTGGCTTCTCTGGCATCTTCAATACGTATCTGCCCTCCCCCATTGGTACAGCCACCGGGACACGCCATAACTTCCACGTATGCATAATCCGTCCCAGACCCGGCGGAAGCGCCGTTTCTCGAGATTGGCTGTCGCCGATTACCGCCCGCTGAAGCTGCAGGCACTCTAGCCCCGGGAAGCCGTGATACACGCGCAGGCTTGAGCTTCCGGACCAGATTCTGAATGTTCCTGAAACCATAATAGCGAGCGGCTTTCATGAGAGTGTCGCCTCCAGGAGACACAAGTGAATATTCCACCACATCAGCGTTTCTTCCCCTCTGGATCACAATCTCACTTCCGGGATTTTTAGCTTGGAAGGTATTAAGGACGTGATGGAGATAACCGCCAGATGTACCGCTCTCCATAGACTGTTCCAACCCATTGTGCTTGCGGAACAGGAACGCGTTAAGTGTCTCATCTGGGAATTGTGGGGTAAATGATGGTGGAAGAGATTTCAGCGGTAATATAGGGAGAGAAATCCCACGGGATGAAGCCAATGTAAGTAGCTCTCGAGTGGTAATGACACAATCGACATCACGGACAGGCTGTTGGGACTCAGTTGAAGGTGCCCCACCGTTAAGCGGGGACCACGACACGTCAGTAAGTTCTTCTCGACTGGCCTCAAGCTTCTTATCAAAGCAAGGCATGATCGCGAGATGCCAAATACGGGAAGGCGGCACACCCAGAGCTTTGCTCAACACGGTCTTCAAGAAAGTGCCCGTCAATGCTTGAGGGGACTTCAGTCGAGAAAGGTGTGGTAGTACGAAAGGGTGTGTCTTCTCAGCATAGCATATCCATCCCGGACAGGCTGATGACAAAATTGGCCGCTTAGGGAGAGGATCTTTTGAGGTAACTCTTGCAGATGGTTCCTTCAAAGTCTCGGTAACTTCGTCTGCTGTAAGAACGAGTACTGCTTCACGCATAATGTTGGTATCGACAACCCAAGTGAAGCCGCTACCATGTTTTCCTCCAGCCCGTAAGCCATGGGGACCACTTAGAAATTGGTCGATCATGTATGTCGCTTCTTTTTCCGAGATGCCATAGGTAGCAGCCAAGCTTGCCCTCACTTGAGGGCTAACACTTGCCACGAAAATCCTCCCTTCTCCGTCAAGTGCATTGCTACCATCGATGTGAGGGCCGTTGTAGTTCTGCGTCAATGGTAATTCGGGATATGCATCAAGGGTATTGAGGACTTCTGCATGCGATTGCAAAGAGATCAGCACCGCCTCAGCGGAGGTGACGCAGCCGGAACAGGCAAGACAGTCGGTCAACGATATCTGTGCTGGGGGGAGGTTTTCAGGCTGAACTTTATCTTCCGTGGTCACTTCGTATGGGTTCTATAAGCAAAAGAAGTCAGTGTCCATCAGCGAATGTGAAGGGACAGGTATTGAGAATATTAAACATACCTGGGAATTTGATGACTCATTCTTCGGAAGCGTCTCTACCGGTTTGATGCAGGCAACACCTGGAGAGATGAAATCGTTCAGATCGTCTGCCGATAGAATGGCACTCATTGTGGCGGACGCTGTAGAAGCCCCGCCAGAGGATTATCAAGGGAAGAGATAACGCCACTCAGAGAAGCGCTGGGATGAGGTTTCTTTAAGGCTCTTCTAAGACTCAGATTCAATATATCTAGACTGAAGTCAGACGGGTGGATCGGTACCAGTCGTAACCCGAGTCAGTAGAGAGGAGGGGAAGGAAAGTAGAAGTATAGATTGGAGGAAATCGAGAGAAGAATAAATCGTTAGTAATGAATTAACAGTGAGATAGCAGTGCTTTGTCATCGTCCGTGGCGAATCTCAGGCCACGGATTAGAAGAGCACCCCGCGATCGGCGCTGATAAGCTCACCGCCCTACCCGCTTCCGCCTGATTGCCCTCGTATTTTGCCGCTCGTTCGTGTTGGCAGTGACTCAGGTACAAAAGTGTATTGAGGCTGTGACGTATAAGAAGATAGGATCGTCTCCTCTCTAAAAGTGTCATTAGCAAGATTCCTTTGAATGATTCTCTATTTAAGGTTGGCAGAAGTAGTCTTTATTTTTTATTTTTCAAATTTTTTTCTTTTTTTTTCTGTCTTATCTACGTACTCCATCTACTAGTATCGACTCCACTACGAATATGTCCAGCTCCGAGCCACCAATGACCTCCACCGGCTCAAATAGGAGAGCTATCTTGAGTTCAACCGCAAAGGAAACCAAGGAACTCCTCCCTCAGATCTTGGCTGTGCTTCCCCATGCTCCTCCTACTGGGATTCGTTGCTCACGTGATACGCTGCCGGTGTTGGACTCGAAGTATAGTCCAAATCTCAACACCCAAGTGGAAGTTGTGAATGGCGACGCTTTCAATATAGCTATCAGCCTCACCAGACCCACGGACACCAGAAGCGCCTGCGTACTGAATCTGGCTAGCGATAAGAGTGCAGGTGGTGGTTGGCTTCGGGGAGCCTTGGCCCAGGAGGAAGAGCTTTGCTATCGCAGTAGTCTTAGTTTTACGCTTAAGCTACGATACTACCCTTTACGGAATCACGATGCTATTTACTCTCCAACGGTTGTTGTGTTTCGTGAAAATTTCACAGATGGACACAGATTAATGGACCTACAAAAGCCCGAGTCTCTGCCCATTGTCAGTGTGGTCAGTATGGCCGCATTGAGGAGGCCGGATGTAGACCGGAACACACAGCCCCCACGGTACAAGCACATCGCGGATCGAGCATTGATGAAGGACAAAATGCGTGTGATTCTCCGTGCTGCAGCGTACAACAAGCATCGGAAACTTGTCCTTGGTGCCTTTGGCTGTGGTGCTTTCGATAACCCAAAGGAAGAGGTCGCGAACTGTTGGGCAGAGGTGTTGCAGGAACCGGAGTTTCAAGGGTGGTGGGAGAATATAGTGTTTGCGGTTCTGGAAAACACAGGCAACCTCGCCAAAAGCAAGGGGAATTTCAACGTTTTCCACAGCAGGTTGCACGGGTTGAGAGTGTAGCCAAAGTAATGACAGAAAATGCAGTGCTCCACTAAGGAATGCCTCATGAAGTGGTAGGTTAATGCTTCGTGAGGACTTTTGGTGTAAGATACATGGTTCAATTATCAAAGACCCGAGTGATTGTAAGGGAAACGCAGCATCCCAGAGCTCATTTCTTGAGCCGAGCGGAACGCCTCCTCCCCGTACATGATGTACCGTCTACTTCGGGTTTTTTCTCGTCTTCAGCTTTCTTCTCATCTTCATCTTTCTTGGCCGGCTTGGCTCCCTTTTTTTCTCCTGCTTTCTTCGCCTTTGGCTCTTCCTCGCTTGCCTCCGCATCACTTTCAACTTTAGGCACTATTCCTCGCTTCCGTTTATTCTGCGCACCGTCCTCCTCAGTCTTGACGTCCTTCGTTACAGGACCGGTCTTTTTCTGCACACTTGGGACCACAGCACTTGTCCTACCACCGACAGTAAGGAAAGTAATCTTATCACCATTCGGTAAAGTGGGAGAGGCATTCTTCTTCCCTTTCGACCATCGGTATTTGAACAGCCAGTCCTCGGGAAACCTGTCGGAGTCTGCCAGCAAATCCACCGAGGTTGAGCAGACGTAATGAATGGCTGAGTGAAGTTCTTTGACTTGATCGTCAGTCAAGGTGTTGCTATATTGCTCTGGGTGAATTCTTGCATGGTAGAGAATCTCATCTCTATGTGACAGTCAGTTCCCATCCCACAATCAGTCAACAGTTGGTTGGTAACACACCCCATCCAATTGCCAATCCCGCTTATGTTCGCTTGGTCCAAAAGTAAAGCCTTGACGGGGACCTTCTTGCTTCTTAGCTTGCCAGCCAGCCAGTCTTCTGTCACCGTGTCCTTATCCGCCACAGGGTCTGGACCGTTCTCTTTGAGGGGGCTGAATTTTCGAATCTGCTCCGCAGGGCAATCCACCAGTCTTATCCTGCCTAGTCTGCGGAAGTCAACAAATGCAGCCTCTGTCTTTGGGTCCTCATCCGTTTCCAGCAAGAATTTCCAGTACTTAGGGGGCCATTCTTTGTCTTGTGGCTTGTCAGTCCGGTAGTAGTATGTGTCAGCATTTCGAATTTTTAGCCAGCCTGCCATGCCAAAATGCATTACGACATGCGGCGGCGACGCCATGGCTATCCAGAAGTATTTGCCTTGCTGCCCTGCACCGACGATCTTCTTTCCCTCCATTGCTTTCTGAAACTCCGAAGCACTAGTTCCCGCTTTACCATAAACAATGTCATCATTTTGCGTAGATACCTTGGAGAGGGTCTTGCCGACAAGATGCTGGCGTATGAAATGGACGATACGTGAGACTTCGGCTAGCTCAGGCATGATGTTGATAAGGTAGATTGTACGGATGAATGTCCACTCTCAACAAATCTCTATACAGATGAATATCTATCTCGATGGAATGCTAACAAGTATCGCTTTTTGATATAATTCAAGGTACAATGCAAATGTTGAAAGGACGTTGAAGTTCTCTTACAATGGGATGAAACGCGTCACGGGTCACGTAGTCCCGTGATCGAGAGCTATCGATAAGAATCTAGCCGTTTTAGGTAAATACCTTATGATTCAATCGATCGTCCATCCAACACCAACGCCTCGGGTCTTGTCTGTGACTCTCAACGACACATAATCCTCCACAAAGAGCCAACCGTCATTTATCCTTGCCGAATCCCTTGATATTTGGCCGCATTCCATCGCAGTACCTGGCTAAGAAAACTTGAGACCCTCGCAGGGCTTCCGGATACCATTCTGTTACTCATCGGGGATCCCGCCACTTATCTACTGCTTTCGTGCACCCCTTGAACGTGGTACAATCTGGAGTGGTTTTGGACTGAAAAGGGCAAATCGGGACGGGAGTCTACAAAAGCCGAGAAATCAAAAATGTCTCGGGCAACGTCAACATCTGCTCCCGAACTGAGCCCCAAATTTTGCTTCAATGAGAGATTGCTCCGAGGTATGCGTTACTGTCAACCACCATCTAAACCTGATATTTGAAAGCTCAAACTCATCGACCATTTTCCCGCTCTATAGATTTCCTACATTTATCCAGATCGACAATAGACGATTCAATTACCCAGAACCTTAATGCTCTATTCACCCCGTCACGGGAGGGCTTCGATCCTTCCTCGACTGCGGTACGTCAAACAGATTCCAAAGCTGGGCGCACAATAGACCCGGCTGCTTGTGAGAAATTCAAGGACAACGTTCTATTCCCCTCATGGCAGACACGGTCAGACGTGCTCAACTACTGCGCCGGCGTCGCTACAAGTCCCGACCCGGATGATCCGGATCTTGTCCTTCGGCAGACCGAATCAGCGAGGGACCGAGAGCGAGTCGTCGATGAACGTCTAGATCCGTACTCCGCGCGGTTTTTCCCTCGCGAGGCACGAACCGAGTCATTAGCGAATCTCGTCCGGAGTCAGCGCAGTGTTGAGGAGATCATCCGTGCCCGAACATGGGGTCTCGTGACCGAGAGATGCGAGGGTTCATCAACAGGCTGGGAAGAAGCACTCAATAGCTGGCGGGAAAGGAAGCAACAATGATCGCACACAGGAAGGGCTAGTGCCAATACCTTTTTTCAATCTGGTAAAGAACTATTTGGGAGGGTTACAAGAGGCCGATATGTTCAAGGTCCTGCTTATACGGCCATTCAGTCCTGATTCGGGATATAATGTATATACTCAACGTGTACACCAATTGCATATAAAAAAGCGTTCTTCAATGATAAGATCATGAATTCAAGAGTGTGACGCAGGCGTCGGCATAGGTACCAGCGCAATATATAAAATCCAGGTAAATCTTCATCTCACATCATATTATTGACGAAATGCGAGCCAGCATCCCGCATACGGAGTAATTTGCTTCGAAAATAGTTGTTGGGCATAGATCCGAATTTAGGGCTGTCGGGGTTCGATTTATGCACGCAAGCGTTCATTTATAAATCTCGGATAAATTATTCTTTCGTTCATTTGCCGGGTCTGTCTGTCCTTGAGAACTGCGATCGGGAAGAAACATTGAGCTTGAATCGCAGTAGGCATAACCCCCGACCAATTCAAAATTGGTTTGTTTGTTACTATTAGTTTCTCTGAGAGTTGCGTTGGCCATAGCTTATCATTGCCTAATCGCTCGTCGGTCCCGAAGGAACGATTAAATCACCCCCCGCGCACATCAGCTTCAGTCCGTCGACACACAAGTCATCCTACTTGCAGTCCCTCACCTCCGCCTCACACACCACCCCCATCATGCCACAACCATTGAGTTCTAAGGACGCATCCTTGTTCCGCCAGGTGGTTCGCCACTATGAAAATAAACAACATAAGAAGGGTGAGTTCCTGTGCGAAATTGAACCAGGTGTCGATGTTCGTGCCAGACAACTAAAAGTTGCTTGTCCTTAACAGGTATCAAGACCGCGGAGCAAATTCTTCGGAAGAACCCCAACCATGGCGATACCCTAGCAATGAAGGCGCTGATCACCAGCAACCTTGGTCAGCAAGAAGAGGCCTTTGCGATGGCCAAGGAAGCTCTCAAGAATGATATGAAATCGCACATCTGCTGGCATGTGTACGGTCTGCTATATCGAGCGGAGAAGAACTACGAGGAGGCAATCAAGGCATACAGATTCGCATTGAGGATCGAACCGGAGTCTCAGCCTATCCAGCGTGACCTTGCCCTGCTTCAGATGCAAATGCGGGATTACCAGGGATATATCCAGAGCCGAACCACCATGCTCCAGGCCCGGCCCGCTTTTCGCCAGAACTGGACGGCTTTGGCTATCGCGCATCACTTGGCAGGAGACCTGGAAGAGGCGGAGAAGGTGTTGACGACGTACGAGGAGACATTGAAGTCCACGCCGCCTGTTTCCGACATGGAGCACTCGGAAGCCGTCCTCTACAAGAATTCGATTATGGCCGAGGCAGGCAAGCTAGAAAAGGCTTTAGAACACCTTGAAACTGTGGGTCACAGAATTACGGATGTGCTGGCCGTCATGGAGATGAAGGCGGACTACCTTCTGCGGCTTGACAGAAAGGAGGAGGCAGAGGCTGCGTACACTGCCCTTCTCGACCGCAACCCCGAGAATTCGATGTACTATGATGCTCTGATCAGAGCCAAGGGTATTCCCGACAATGACCACAAGGCTCTGAAGGCTGTATACGACTCTTGGGTGGAGAAGAACCCTCGTGGCGATGCTCCTCGTCGAATCCCTCTGGACTTCTTGGAGGGTGAGGATTTCAAGCAAGCTGCTGATGCTTACTTGCAGCGTATGCTCAAGAAGGGCGTCCCTTCTCTCTTTGCGAACATCAAATCCCTATACACCAACACTTGGAAACGTGATACAGTGCAGGAGTTGGTGGAAGGATACGTTTCCGTACCTCAAACCAACGGCTCTGCGGAGGGCGAGGCGAACGGCGACAACAAGGAATTCCTTTCTTCCTCCCACTATTTCCTTGCACAGCACTACAACTACCACCTCAGCCGCAATCTGACCAAGGCCATGGAGCATGTCGACAAGGCTATCGAGCTCTCTCCTAAGGCCGTAGAATATCAGATGACCAAGGCCAGGATATGGAAGCATTATGGTAACCTCGAGAAGGCCGCAGAGGAGATGGAGAAGGCTAGGAAGCTGGATGAGAAGGACCGTTATATTAACTCCAAGGCCGCCAAGTACCAGCTTCGCAACAATGACAACGATAAGGCACTTGAAAACATGAGCAAGTTTACTCGGAATGAGACTGTCGGTGGTGCGATGGGCGATCTCCACGAAATGCAGTGTGTCTGGTATCTGACCGAGGACGGTGAGGCTTATCTGCGCCAGAAGAAACTTGGGCTTGCGCTCAAGCGCTTCCATGGCATCTACAATATCTTCGACACCTGGCAAGAAGACCAGTTTGATTTCCATAGCTTCTCATTGAGGAAGGGCATGGTCAGGGCATACGTTGACATGGTCCGCTGGGAGGATCGCTTGCGCCAGCATCCCTTCTACACTCGGGCGGCTCTTTCTGCCATCAGGGCATACCTGCTTCTCCACGACCAACCAGACCTCGCCCTTGGGCCCTTGCCCAACGGTGCCGATGGTGACGCCGACAGTGCTGAGCGGAAGAAGGCTCTTAAGAAGGCCAAGAGGGAGCAAGAACGACTGGAGAAGATTGAGGCCGACAAGAGAGCGGCAAGGAAAGCAGCAAGCACCAAGGGTGGTGATGGTGAAGTGAAGAAGGAAGACCCTGACCCGCTTGGCAACAAGCTTGTACAGACCCAGGATCCACTCAATGAGGCAACCAAGTTCCTGACTCCGCTCTTGGAGTTCAGCCCTAAGAGCATCGAAGCCCAGAATCTTGGATTCGAGGTCTATCTCCGGAGAGGTACGCACACTAACCCATGCGATATCACAGAGACTTAAACTAACTTGGTTTGCAGGCAAATATGCGCTCGCACTCAAATGTCTCTCTGCTGCCCATGCAATTGATGCTTCCAACCCAACCCTTCACATCCAGCTTCTCCGTTTCCGCAAGGCATTGGATAGTCTCTCTGAGCCACTGCCACCTCAGGTGGCCGAGGTTGTGAATGCCGAGTTTGAGACTCTGCTCCCGAAGGCCCAGAATCTCGACGAGTGGAACGAGTCTTTCCTTTCGACACACAAGGACAGCGCCGTCCACACACAAGCAGCGCTGACATGCCGACAGCTCCTGAAAGCAGACTCCAAGGCGCAGTGTGAGAAAGATCTCACCGCTACCCTTGACTCGCAAGTTGAGAGCATCGAGACTGCTCTTGCTGGCTTGCAATTGTTGGACGAATGGAAAAGCGACCAGGCCGCAAAGGCCGCTTACGCTGAGAAGGCCAAGAGCAAGTGGCCTGAGTCGTCAGTGTTCCAGCTGAACTAAGATGAATTTTATCGAGAGGAGTACAATCAGTCTCTTCCAATACTTCACAACTGCGGGGAATATTTGCAGTTGATTTTCCAGACCCGAGTATAGAAGTCAAGAGTTTTATGGCCTAAGAATGCGGGTGGAGTTACATTTCTATGACGATGAAAGAAAAAAAGCTCAAATTTTCTGATATAAGATTTCAAGCGATCGAAACACGTGGAGATGATGTACCAGTACTAGTATAGTTGAGATTTCACCAGTCGAATTGGGAGCTAACCAGCTAGTCTGTGAAAGGATCAAAAGCAAACTTTCCCTTCATATTCTTTCATGTTTCTTTCTTGCCTAACCCGGTTGCGTAATTATATCCTGCATTGCATATAGCGCGGATAGAGCCAATATTAAAGATTAGAGTCCACATTTCAACGCACAGCCGTAAATATACTAGTTATGATACAGAGAGGGAAGTTTACCCGATACCGCGCAACAACAACACATCTGATCCAGTATGTACGAGTAGAAATTTAATTCCGTAACTAGACTAATATACAGTATAGATCGATTTGTTGGTACAGCAGATGAGATATATCCTATGTTCACCATCCCTACCAATGCTGGTGCATATAAACTAAGCACATGTCTATAGCTTCCATTCCATAACCATGCGAGATATCAACTTGAACTGGGGCGAGAATCACTGGTTGTCCTCTCCGTCAATGTTTCCAAGAATAGGCTTCCTCTTCAGGGTCTCCTCGTCCTCCCCGTATCCGTACTTGATCCACATGCGCTGCCAGAAAGGAACGGGCGTGGGCCGTTCCTCACCAAGGATGTATTCTGCGCCCTCAGCAATCCGTTGTGAGCGGGCTTCATCTTCGGGGGAAAGGACGTAGCGCTGCATCCGGGCTGCGATACGAGAATCCAAAACGACAGAGTCCATCCACTCGCGTTCCTTATCAGGGTTCGCTTCATCCTTCTTGTGCGCGGATTTGTGCCAGTCCTGTTCTTCTTCTTCGAGGACGGTTTGTTGTTCGTAATTTCCACCCATTAGGTTATCGGAGGCCGGAGCGGCGTCGACACCCGCGGGGGTTAGTTCGGAGTCTGTGCTGAAGGAACCATCGCTATATGGCCGAGTAGTCGATGCGAGAACGATGCCAGCAACCTCTCGTCCGACGCTATCAGCGAGGTAGCGTTGGTTCAAGTATCGGTAGATTCTGATGGGAGTGTTCAAGAACCCTAGAATATGAGGGAAATGGATCGGAACGGAGCCGTCCAAGGATTGTGGGAGAGATCGTGGGAGGTTTTGCGACGAGTAGTCGGCGGGAGTGATGTATGCTGAGGTCGGGCCGGTAGGCTTAGAAGGCTTCTCATCCTTCTTCTCAGGTTCGTCCTTCTTCTCGGAGTTCTCTGCGGTAGGGGTGTCCTCGGGAGAGCCACTGGTCTCTGCTCCCTCGGAAGGTGACGGCACATCTATCGGGACAGGCGGCTGGGGAGGGTCGAGTGGTCCAAGCCAGCCCTCATGGAGACCTCGGATATACTCCTTCCAGGTATTACGTCCGATGATCAGATCGCCCTTGGGAACGGGTTCCTCTACCACTCCGATCTTCTCCCTAGCATCCGCAACGACCTCTTCAATGCCAGCTTCTTCCACCACAGTGCTTGGCTCGCCGGACTTCCTTCTAAACTTGCGAATTCGCTCCGCAAGTCCAGCACGGATGTCACCTTCCCGTCGTCCTTCGATCACCTGGTAGTCTAAGGCTGCGGCGACTAGAATGGGCTTGACATATTCTTTGAAGTGCTCCCGGGCAACGCGGAGACCATCGCCAGGAGGGGCCGACAGAAAGACTGTAAGCTTCCGCCGTGTCTGGTCAATTGGGAGAGGCTCCTTTGAAAGGTGTGCCACCAGGTCACACCATTTCTGTTGTGCGCGCTTCTTCTGTTTGCGGTCATAGACCAGGGCAGCGGTGAACGAGCCGGTTACTGTGAGAAAGATCATCCAATTGCGGGAAGGAAGTTTAAGGCGGAAGTTAGGCATTCCTTGGATAGAATGATTAGCGTCAATTGACATGAGACATAGGATGTGGTCGGGGACTTACCCATCATTCTCCATACTGGGTTCGGTGCCTTCGTAGGCTTTGCCGCGGTCTGAGTCTGGCCAGAGGCCGCAGCGGAATTGGAAGATTCCGCCATGGTCTCCGAGAGCTAAGAGAAATTTGGCTAAATAGGATACGGAGGTGATTAAATAATATAATTCAAGATGTGATTTATAACCAAATTGGCGATGTATAGCACTAGAGAGGAAGTATCCCTTCCCTTTGGATGATGTATCATAGTCCATTTGCCCAAAAAAAGTTCGGGATCTCTGCGCCGCTCCGTCACCCGGAACATGGTTAATCCGATAGAAGAAAGTGTATTTTTTTCTGCTCGGTTCTCTGAAGTAGTTGTACGGAGTATATACATAAAATATTTCTAGTGCTTACAGCTAACTTTTTCAAGGTGGACCGATTGGTTCAATTCCATTGTGTGTTTTGCAACTCTGGTTGAGGGCTGAAGAGAATTATTATTGACAAGGCAGAGTGCTCCGTGGCCCACCTGTTCGGGAGATGGGATACCCTAGGTTATGGAGTTGTTCATATTACGAAGAGGGGGGGGTGGATGGACTCGTCTTACTACCAAAAAGAAGCATTCATATGGATGGAACTCCGGGCAATAGAGTTGAGACGAAGATCTTCTATGTATAATTAACTCAGGTCGACTATTCATCACGATCCAAGTCTATCTCATTGAGGACATGGAAACAATCGAAGTATACATGGATGAGTCAGCAACAGCAGGGGTCGTGAACCAATCGGGGCATCTCGGCGGGTGGGAATTGAAGTGGCGCCAAAGCCAGTGAAGAGCCGACAAGGTGCCTGGCAGCCGCAGGCCAATACAGCCAACCCCCCCTGTTCCGCACTTATGGCACCAATAGTCAGCCGTAGGAATGGGAATGGCTAATGAACCCAAAGTCCAGACTCCAGTAAAAAAGTTACTGACTTGGACTAGTCGGACAACAGGAGGAGAGACTGGCTCACGCTACTACTCCTGGTCTCACACCGCGGGCGTTTCAACTTCTCCCCAGTCCTCTCCCCTTCTTTTAGATCTCTGTCTCTCTTTTCTTGATAACAACCCCTTCTCTGAACTCATATGGCCAGAGAGTGAGAGACTGTAGAAACACCGTGTCTCTCCTTTGTCTGTCCGTGGAGTACGGAGTTGTCCACACTTCCATCCCACTCACTCCACTAATTGTCCGCCCCTCTTGACTTGTCGCACTTCGACCTCCTGAGCCACCGCTCCTTTGGGCAATTCCCCTCCCCCTTGAAGGTCTTCACTTTTCACTTCAAACCGCCTCCTGTCTAATTTTTAAGAGTCCCTCATCCGGTACGGTTAAACCACCGGAGGGAAATTTGTTTAAAGATGGATCCCAATAATAACCGTCTCCACCTGAACTTCGGGTACAACGAGCGTGGTTTCAATGCGGCGGCCAACAACCGCGCATATCCCACGACTCCTTCCGCGTTCCCCCAACCGATCTACCAGAACCAAGGCCCTCAGGACTACATGGATGCTCAAAACGGAGCTTACAACCAGGGATATTTCATGGCAAACCCATACCCTCCTCAAGCCGCCTATGCTCAGCAGCACTATGGACAATCAAACTTGCAGTCCCCGCAGCCCGCATATCAATCACGCATGGGGTACAGCGCCAACGATGGAACCAACGGCCTCATCCAGCAGTTCTCTAACCAGGACTTGAACTCGAACCGTACAGGCTTCTTCGGTCGCTCTGCCTCTCCTGCTCAGAGACCTCGTACAGCTGGTTCGTCCGCCCCGGGGCAGCAACAGCCTGGCCATCTAGCCCCGCCAATGCCACGCAGTCCCCGTACTCCCGCCGAGAACGAAGAGCTCCAACGCTATCCGGAGCGATACTCAGAGAATGTCCACAAGCGTGGTAAGGCCGCTAAAGAGCTGGTGAACGTTTTCTTTCACGAGAACATTGAGCGTGCGCGCGATCGTAACATGCGGTAAGTCCAACATCAAATGGAGATGAGTAAGAAACTTTGCATCTTGGGATTCGGTCGACTAATGTTCGTACTGGTATAAACAGTTCCACGAATCTGGACAAGATGATCCAAGATCCGAGTATCTCTAAGGATGCGAAGCGTCAGGAGGGAGAAACTATTGCGAAGAAGGAGTCGAACTTCCTCCGATTTCTTCGGACCAAGGAGACACCATCGAACTTCCAGACTATCAAGGTTATTGGAAAGGGTGCATTTGGTGAGGTTAAGCTTGTGCAAAGGAAGACCGACGGCAAGATCTATGCGCTCAAGTCTCTGATTAAGACTGAGATGTTCAAGAAGGATCAACTGGCCCACGTTCGCGCCGAGCGTGATATCTTGGCTGACTCCAAGGATAACCCGTGGCTTGTGAAGTTGCACGCTTCGTTCCAGGACTCCGCATACCTCTACCTTTTGATGGAATTCTTACCTGGTGGTGACCTGATGACCATGTTGATCAAGTACGAGATTTTCTCCGAAGACATCACTAGATTCTACATGGCAGAGATTGTGATGGCTATCGAAGCAGTCCACAAACTAGGCTTCCTTCATCGGTAAGTTGGCCGCTTGTCATTGCTTGTACCACCTTTGTCGTCCCAGATTATTACTCCCCCCCACATCTCTTTTCCAACGCATTCATTGGTGCTCAAAATAATGTACCATTTACTGACAGCGACTCAATTACAGTGATATTAAACCTGACAATATTCTTCTCGACCGTGGTGGTCATGTTAAGCTTACCGATTTCGGTCTCTCGACTGGTGGCAAGAAGACTCACGACAATTCATACTACCAAAACTTGTTGAAAAATTCTACCTCCAAGGATAAGAACCGCAACTCCGGATACTTTAACGATGCGATCAATCTGACTGTATCAAACCGTGGCCAAATCAATACATGGAGAAAGTCCCGTCGAGCCATGGCTTATTCAACGGTTGGCACGCCTGACTACATTGCACCTGAGATCTTCAACGGTCAAGGATATACTTATCTTTGCGATTGGTGGTCAGTCGGTGCCATCATGTTTGAATGTCTTGTGGGATGGCCACCTTTCTGTGCTGAGGACACCACCGATACCTACCGGAAGATCGTGAACTGGAGGGAATGTCTTTACTTCCCTGAAGAGCTTACTCTTTCTCGCGAATCCGAGGGCTTAATCCGAAGGTATTTACCGCTCCCCGCTCTTCGCACTATATTCACGTACATGTGTCTGACCGTTATATACAGCTTCCTTTGTGATGCAGAGCACCGTGTTGGCAACGATGGCGGCCAGTTTGGTGGTGCTACACAGATCAAGAACCATCCGTTCTTCCGTGGTGTTGTTTGGGAGCAGCTTCGCAACATTCGCGCTCCATTCGAACCTCGACTGAGCTCGAATATTGATGTGTCATACTTCCCCATTGACGAAATTCCTCAGGAAGATACCAGTGCTATCCATCGTGCTCAGGCCCGTGCCATGCCCGAGGAACAGGAGGCTGAAATGAGCCTTCCGTTTATCGGATACACATACAAGGCATTCAATGCCTTCCAGAATAACTGAGAATCGAACTGATACTCGGGATCGATGTATGCAGGATGAGCGCCTCGGAAAGCCGGTCCGCGGGCAGGCTTGCGCGGAAGTCTTTCCAGCGGCTCATCTAGGATCTATTCTCGAAATATCTTTGTTCATTTGATTTCATCTAGCGTCTAGCGCATTTGGCATTTTATGTCATTGATAACGACCTGTGCATCTTCCTTACTGTGTTTGCATGTCGCAAGACGACGCCCGCTAGTTGCACTCCGTGTCTAGCCTTAAGAACTACAAACAAGAGCATTATTTCGTTGAAAGTTCAGAGCCTGTGACACCTACAAGTGCGGATCACGAATGACTGGCTACTTTTGTTTCCTCTAGCATGATGCATCAATGCATATATCAGGAAAAATACCCAAAGTACAACGTTGTACCTTTTACATTTCAGACTAGTTTGCATATAAAACGGTTGGTGGCAATCCCATTAAATATTTGGACTTGGCAATGGCTTCAATCCTTGTAAATTTCCAGGGCACTCAGTAATGTCGATGTTTGTATCAGCTGAGTCGGAGAAAGAGTAAGATATAGTAATGGACGCCATCGGAAGGCCTCCTCTCAGCCAAATTACAATAGCTGGGGTAACATGAATTTGAATCACATATAGCTGTAGTCTCAAAAAAAAAAAAAAAAATCCTCAAACGCCCTATGCACCTCCGTTGAATGGAAAATTATTTTCGTCAACTTTTCCTTCTCATGCAGACCCATGCATACAACACCACTTCAGGCAATTCACACCTTGGGGTCCATCGGTGCCAGACCTGGGACACCACTAAATCTCTCCTCTCGTTCGGTCTTGAACATGATTTGAACCCAGAATTCCTTGCTATCTTCATCGAACCAAGTCCAATAACGACCCTCTCTGCGGTCAATCTCCCGAGCCTGAAGCTTGAAACCACACGTCTGGTACGGCTCCGCGGCTACGACAAGATATTGGAAATTCTTGTCTGGGGGGTCCTCAACCTTCTGCTCAAAAGCGGACATGAACCGTACTCGAGGCTGAACACCTGGTGTAATTTCCTGATACTGCAGCTGAAACAGCAAACCCAGCTGTCGTGTCAATGGATCCCTGATCTTCGTGATCTTGTAACCAGGCCGACCAATCTTGATTGTCTGCTTCTTAACTTGAACTCCCATCGCACCCGGCAGCGTCGATGGATCTTGATTCTTTCCTTCTCTCTGCTCCCGCGCGGCACGTCTAGCCAGGTTCGTCTGATGCTTGCGGCCTTGGGTATGGGCGAGGTAAGAGCCATCGTTCTGGTGAACCGTCAAGCACAGACGGCACTCAAAGCTGCCTACATGGTTCTTGAAAAAGTATGGGTCCTTGTCTAGGTCAATCGTCTCAAGAGCGAGCTTACGAAGACGCTCGCGACGGTCTGCGTTGGTCGCAGATTGCGATGCGACACCACCGCCACCGAATTTGGATCCTGCACGATTCTTCAACGGCATTAGCATACAACACACGCGGTGAACAGAACAATCGTAGGGACAGAATATCAACTCACCTGGAAATCCATTCTGATCTGCCTTGGAGAAACTTGGAAATTCCCGATAGCAGCGGAGGAGAAGAAGCGCGGCAGGTGATAAGCTTCAAAGGGAAATTCCATGGAAATATTATGTCAGCAGCATCGTCGACTGTCATTGGACGAGAGCGACTGTTTGCCCAAGTAATTGACAGCCCATGGGTTTCAAAGTCAACTATAGGATGTCCATTGAATGCCTGCGAAAAGGGTAATCTGCACAGAATAACCTATAATAATGGATTCAATAAGCTGTGTGAATCAACGGCGGTCCTATAATGGCGAATTGTGCACCATCCGCTACGCGGGGAAAGTTGCAGGCACCACGGGCGAATGGTTAGGCGTGGAATGGGACGACCCAACACGGGGGAAGCACTCGGGAGAGCATCAAGGAGTGAGATATTTCTCATGTACAGCATCCGTCCCTTATTCTTGACAATTAATCTGTTCTGGAAAATCTGTTCCCATCTTACTTCACTCGCTCATACTTATCATAGGCAAAAGCAAACACCCCACTGCAGGGTCATTTGTGCGTCCGTCTCGAGCTGCGGACGAACCCAGAAGCTTTCTAGAGGCTCTGCGTGAGAAGTATAAATCTGAGTTTGAAGAGGAAACCTTTAGGAGAAAGCTTGGTGGTACTGCCTCTGGTGATGCCCTACACAAGCCAATTGAAATCAGCGGCAAGGTTGTCGAAGAAGTTGGTTTCGACAAAATTCGAAAACAACTTGCAGAGCTGCAAGAGCTGAAGATCGTCCTCTTAGATGGGTTACGGGTCGCAGGAGTCCTTGCTCATGAGGGTAGCGCAGAGCAAATCCAGCCGGTTTGCAAAGAGATCGAGCAGACCTGCCCTAAGATCATCGAGCTTGATCTCAGCCGAAATCTGCTGAATCGTTGGCGTGATGTTGCAAGTATATGTGACTCGCTCAAGCGCTTAAAAACATTGAAGTTGAAGTAAGTGGCAGTCAAGAGTGGGATTTATTGTGGTTAACACATTGAATAGTGGAAACCGAATGGACCCTGTAGGGGAGGGCTTGAAATTTGAGAGGATCACAGAGCTCCAGTTGGATAACACGCTTCTCTCTTGGAATGAGGTATATCGAAGCTACCTGGTTCTCAATTTTGTATCGACTAATTAGTCATTCACAGATATCAACTCTCACATATCAATTTTCGTCCCTAGCTACTTTAACCGCCTCCGCTAACCAGATTTCATCTATCCCATCACCCCTCTCGAGCACAATCACAACATTAACCTTGGAAGATAATGAGATCTCCTCTCTATCTTCCATCAGAAAACTTACCTCCCTAGATAGTCTGAACCGTCTTTCACTACGCGGAAACCAAGTTGATAAGATCTATGAATCCAGTTCAGACGAAGCATCCCCTGTACGGTTTCCAAATAACCTTCAGTCGGTCGATCTATCCAGGAATAGAATCGACAATTGGCTTTTCGTCAATCAACTGTCACTTGTGTTTCCCGGGCTACAAACTCTCCGCATTTCCGGGAATCCCCTCTACGATCAACCTGTGGGCCCATCAACGGTCACTGGGTTACCAGAGAAGACAATGACAGTGGACGAGGCATATATGCTAACTCTTTCTCGAATGGGCTCTTTAAGAATGCTCAACTATGGCACAATAACAGAAAAAGATCGCAGCAATGGAGAGCTCTATTACCTCTCGCTCATTGGAAAGGAGTTATCTGCTTTTCCGGAAAGTGCAGAGCGGGAGATCTTCGCAAAGCACCCGAGATATGGTGAGCTTTGCGAGATATATGGTGAGCCTGTGATTAGGAGAGTTACAGTATCGACTGGGTCAGGTGTCGCTGTGAATCCACGGTCTGTTGCTGCGCGATTGTTGAGGATAGCGTTCTGCTTACGCCGAGAACTACCGGTTTCTGGCACCTCGGACAGGAAACAAGACGATGCTTCAAGGGAGGAAGTCAAGGTGAAGGAGATACCTCGATCCTTTGATACTTACCAAATTAAAGCCATTGTTTCACGTCTGTTTGGCCTAGCGCCTTATGAGTTCAGGCTGATTTGGGAGACGGACGAGTTGGACCCCGTCAGTAAACAGAATATAGATGATGAGGACGGATGGGACAGCGAAGATGAGGGTATTAACTCACTGCAGCCGAGCGATAGCTCCGCATTCGTTAAGAGAGAGGTTGAGCTTGTGGATAGTACGAGGGATATTGGGTTCTTGTTCCAGTCCGATCTTACTGAGGCAAGGATCAGAGTGGAGATAGCGACTCAGCCCTAACGTGGACGTAGAAATATGTAATTAGAATCTTTATGTGGATGAGTTACGATATATATCTTAGTAACATCAGATATAGTATAATCATGATGGTATTTGCGACAGAGTGAAGATATACTTCCATGTGCGGAGACCAGCCCCGTGATTACCACATCGGGATTAGCTCCGATCGCTCAAAAGCATCATTTATCGCCAAGTCGCAATTAAAGTGATATCATTAGCTCTCAAATAGCAACTCATATAACACAATAATATTTCACACGCTGGACAGAGAATAATCCTTTCAAATATGGCAGAGTATTGGAAGTCAGCCGTAAGTTTTAAACACACTTTCCCATTTCATTAGCATCATTCTCTACGCTTTTCCGCAAGACACCCAAACCATCCAGCTAACGTTATTAACTACAGCCCAGATACTGGTGCAAACAATGCAAGATTTTCATCCGGGATACGGCATTTGAAAAGACCCAACATGAAGCAACAGGCAAACACCAAGGAAACTTAAAGCGATTCCTACGGGACATCCACCGAGACAATGAGCGCCAACAGCGGGAAACTCAGAGGGCCAAGAATGAGGTTGAACGCCTCAGACAAACCGTCTCCGGCAACGTTGGTGGGAAGAGCGGCAATGCAGCCTCCTGGAAACCAGCAGCACCAGTTCCCCAAGCGCCACCGCGGTCAGTTTCCCTGGACGAGAGGAAGAAGCAGATGGCGCAATTGGCGGAGATGGGTGTTGCGATACCGGACGAGTACCGTGGTGATATGGCCCTGGCTGGAGAGTGGCAGACTGTTTCCGAGAAAGTGATTGGCGCGGATGGAGAAAAGACGGGTCCTTCGCTTGGGGTTCGCAAGCGCAAGCATGAGGGGGATGAGGAAGAAGAGGAGGCTAAACGGGAGGCGGAGAGGTTTGTTAGCAAGGGTTGGGGGTCGAGGACTCGGGAGTACCCCGGTGCGCAGGATGATGCGGATTTGGATGCCCTCCTAGAGTCTACGAAGGATGTTAAGAAAGCGAAACCGTCGACTTCTGAGGCGACTCCTAAGGAGAGCGACAAGGAAGCTGCTGATGTCCTGGCTCAAGGCGAGGGAGACTCTGCAGCTGCAGAGTCGGAGCAGACGCCACAAACTGAAAAGGAACCGTTGGAAGCTGCTGCTGTGCCTCCCGCGCCCGTGGCTAAGAGTGAACCAGAAGAAGCGAGTGCGGGCGTCGTTTTTAAGAAGCGCAAACCAAAGGTTATGAGAAAATAGGCCAACATTGGGCATACGCTTTAATTCGTCTACGTTGCGCGACTTCACGTACCGGATGAGTGGCTCATGCGTAAACTCATATTCCTTTGCTGGTCCACAACCAGTGCATGTCCTGACCATACTTGACCGAGGGGTAAAGTATGATGTCCTCTCAGCTATTGCTTAGTGAACCCCCCACTGAGAAAGGAAAAGAAATGTACCAGAAATGACTACAGAGCGATACGGCCCTAGTTATGCATTGCGGATGGCTTGTCAACAGGAAGAATACTGAGCCAATTATAGGTTGCGCTTGCCTGTTGGGTCAAGGTCATTCTCTCCTGATTGTGAATGGATAGACCTTTGTTAACCAAATGGACCATGGGTGTGAGTTAATCTGAAAAAGGCCCGGGCTATGGCTACACATACTCAACAATGGAGTGTATCAAGGCATCGACATCTACTCAAGTGAACAAACATCAAGGGTTCCCTTTTCTATTTTTATATTCCAAGGGAGATTGTACCATGGAGAATTAGACATGGTGTGAAAAATGAGTGCGATTCAAGGGACATAAATTGAACATATCGAGTTCAGATGGTGGCTACCAGATAATTCTCCGAGATTGACATGGGAACCTCGTATTGGATACTAATATTGCAGAGAGGTCGTTTTCTTGGAATAATATTGGTGGTTGATATGATGGGATAGTGCTATTCAAATAGATTTATAGTATATTTAATATTGAATGGGAAACAAATTTATTGTTGTGTTGTTGTAAGAAAAGATTCACTGATATAAGAAAAGAAACGTGGTGTTGTTGTTGTTGTATTGCCACTGTCTTGGGTTCTGGTCAATTTTTTTTTTCTTTTCCCCCTTCCGTTGCAACTTTTGGCAGCGTTGACAAAAATCCGGGGAGGGAGACTTTCTTTCCCTTAAGCTAAGTCTCACTTTTGTCGCGCAACGACCTTATCGCAACTTTTCTCGTCACAACCCACTCCAAATGCGGAGACTGTCTGGTCCCGAATTCATAGTTCTGGTGGAATAGTATTTCGGCTCGCTTCTTTTCGCTTATTTGGACCAGTACATGGTAAGTAAACGAGAAAGCTTCGTTTCATCGCTTGTCCCCGGTCACTCTCATCCGAGACACGTCTCTTCCCCTCTGCCAGCCCGAAAACCTCAGCCATTCCACTCGCTGCATTCCCGGAGGTTTAGCTCTTCACTTTCTGTTTCAGTGTCGCATATGGGGACTGCACCTGGTGATGCGCGGTGGTTGTTCCGTGCTGTCAGCACCGCGGAAGATTTCATTCAGTCGCGTACAATACCCAAATGGCATGGGTGACTATAATGTCAATGGCCCTGATTGAGTGTGATCTCTGGGAAGAGTGACCATCTATGCTCTACAGTTCTTCTTGAATTGTAAGATGCATATGGGCCTGCCATACGCAGACAGTCATCGCGGTAAAACTTCACAAAACATCTCCAGCCTGTGTGTTATGCGCAACCCGGAAGAAGCCATGCCTCTTTTGTGCTGCTTTGGAATCCCACCGTTCCCACCTCTGAGACAGATGCCTCTGGGTTTAGATACATATTATTGGCGGATTGATTAAGTTCAACTTGCGTTATAATTAGTTGACTAACCGTGCCTTTAAAACCGCAGCTAGAGCGCCGCACTTGTTGACAGGCACACAGCATTTTAGTCTACGGATAAGGCTATCGACCATCGAGAATATAAATATTCTTGTTTGCCTTACGGGGAGGGCTCGCTACTGCAAATTTTAATCGATTCCGCCCGACGCCAATCGATACCTGGGATCATTTTTCGCGCGACCACACGCTTTTAAGAGATCATACCACAAGGAAAATGGCGGAGACAGCAGATCCTGCAAGCACACCTGGCGAGCTGCCAAAACAGGGCCCCGAACCAACCGATGCGCTGGCTGCACCGACGACCACCTCTGCTGGAGAGTCTACGTTTTCAGCTGTGGACGTTTCTCTTCCTCCTATAGATAAATCTCTGCCAGCAATGGATACAAATGTAGACACAACGCTCCCACCATTGGACCCGTCAATACCGTCTCTACCGCCAATTGACACAACCTTACCTCCGATAGACACTACCTTGCCAGCTACGGACGGAGGTTTGGGTACAGATACGAATTTCTCGTTTGACGATTCGGACCCGAAACATGATGATGGAGGGCTTGGCGGGCCGGAGCCCACTACACATGTTTCGGCGACACCTGGTAGTAATATTGGGGAACAACCGGGACCTTCACCTACCCCCGAATCTGCATGGCAGCTGCCCTCCAATGGTACACATTCGCAACAGCCACCTCCACCGCAGAACCAATCAGCGCAACCGCAATCACAGCCGCAGTATCAACAGCAGCAACATGCACCCCAGCAGCATGCGCCGTCACAGCAGTATCAACCCCAGCAACCACAGCAACAGGGTCAAATGCAAGCGCAATCCCAATCGCAACAATACCAGCAGCAGAGCTCCGACATGTATCACAACCATCAAACTGGTTCTACACCGATGAGCGCACCGTCGATGCAGACAATGGACCATCACGCGTCCCAAGGACAGACATCGCATGTCCCGCAAGCCCCCATCGGATCGCCCATGCCTCCAATGGCTTCAGTAGGCCAATACATGACGGGATATCCGAACAACGTTGGACAAATGGGAATGAATTCGAGTGCGCAAATGCGGTATCAATTACCAGGAGACCCGAACAAGATGCTCTCTGGCGGCAGACATAAGAAGGAAGTTAAGCGCAGAACTAAGACAGGCTGTTTAACATGTCGAAAACGGAGAATCAAGGTACGTGATACGAAATATAAGATCAAGAAGCTGTTAGTCCATTTATTGTGGATGGGGAAGTTCGAGCCACAGGTTGGGGTGGGCGTCGGGGAAGGAAATATGTGTTGTGGTCGCTTCGCTTGTGTCGCAAGCTCTGCCTTCGGCTCGCCTGCAAGAAACCCCGCCATTCACGGTGTCGCTTGTTGTTGCCCACTGTTTTCCTCCCCGCCCGACAGCCCAATCCTGCTGCCTTTATTATTCTTTTCTTTCTTTATTTATTATTTTTCTTTGCGTGGAAAAATATCCAAAACAGCACGGTGTCAGTCTGTTCTCCATATTAACGCTGACGGTGGGCAATACTTTAGTGCGACGAAGGCCATCCCGTCTGCCGAAACTGCGTCAAAAGTAAACGTGAATGTTTAGGTTACGATCCGGTGTTTAAGCAACAACCGACCCCTTCTGCTATACAACCAGCTCCGAATCCACACCCGTCGCTGGTGGTCAACCCCCAAGATCCTTCTACCTCGTCGTCGACACCCACATACCCTGCTGCTCCTCCGGGCTACGTGCCCGCGGTCTCTCAGCCTTTTGCTCCGTCCGAGTCTCCCAGCACGTCCACCGACAGATACGACTACGGCGCGCCCATCGATCCAACATTGGACGGAAACAACTCTTCGAACATGGCCAGTGTACAGAATGCTGTAGAGGGTGGCTTGCAGCCGACTGTCAATCCGGCGAGCACCACGGCATCGTCGGATCCTACAAGTTTCAGAGGTGCGTTCTTGAACTAGGCTTTCTTGGCTTCATGCCTGTTCTTATGCTTATACCCTGCTTAGTGAAACAAGTCCAAATCAGCGATCTTCTGGCACTGAGAGGGATTCCTCCTCCCCCACCCCATCCTATCACTGCCATTCAACCGAACCGTCTAGAAGAAATCAAGGCGGTCTTCCTTGCCACATATGCTCCTGCCATTGACAAATTCTTCGAGACGCGTTGGTTCCAGGATAAGGCTTTGACTCACCTTTTGGCCAATGCCCAGCTTATGGCCGAGTATTCAGCGTTAATTGAGGCATTCAACGATCAGAATCTCAGTGATCCAAATGTCATCGCACGACTAGAAAGTTTTGAAGCGTCCGTGGTTTGGAGCTCCATGACGTTATGCCGTCATGTTATGAATGTATCGAATGGAAGTCATGGCCAGGACTATGATTTGCTAGCATCTTCGAAACGACTGGACGTTATTGAGGCCATGATTACAGGCGAACATCTGGACTCGAATCCCTTAGCCCAGTTCTCCCCCAGGGACACGCCTACAAATCCCCCCGGCTTATCAGATCAGTTAGCGCAACGATCGCTGGATTTCTGGAGCGCAATTGCCCACTTTCTTACCCTTCATGACAACGAGGCTAGCTCAGCCAAAGAGATTGATGATACTCTTGGCCGTTGCCGCACGCTGTTGGATACGTTTGAAAACCGTGATGTGATCTACTCAATCGCTATCGCGCGTCATCTCGGACAGCGCTGGGCAGATTTCCCGCGCAGCTTCCCCCAGCCCATCACAACGAACGAAAAGGATGCCGGGGCTAAGCTCTACGTTGCCCAAAAGTTCCTCGAACAGGAAGCGGGTGGGAAAGGCACCACGCAAGTTATCAAACGTATTTGCGGCATGGTGGTTCGTTCCTGGTTCGTATCACGGGAGTAAAAATTATCGGGGTATATCTGCCTTGCATTTGATGACTCTGCCGTGGATTTTGTAATATGGAAAAAGGAGCCCTCGCACACTGCTGGCGAATTCTTTTGGCTTTTTTAATGATGTTTAACTAGACTTGTTCATTTGTTTCGACCCATATCCCTTCACATTCAGTGACTATATTTTTTTTTTCTTTATCTTCATCATCTTGGTTTTCCTGATATGGAGGACGTCATGGCTCAGGAGTTGATTGCTATTCATATTCCTGTCCGCAATTGGGGCAGGACAGCACCATGGCGTTCAGGGTGCATAAGTTCTTACGAAGTACAATGATAAAAGGTTTCTGGTACAGTTTTCTCAATTGTGGCTTTTTGGACCATATTCAACTAAAAGATTCATTGGAAAATGCCTCGCGACAATATCATTCATGTAATCGTCCTGCATTGAAAGCCACCCTATGTATAGTATGTATATACCGACGCAACCAGACGTCCCGGCCCTCTATAAAGTCCATGTACAAGTCCAATCGAAAGTCAAAAAGGATGCAACGTAACGTTTCACAGTCTCAGCCAAATCTATAGATCAGTCTGTTCGGGAACAGGACTCTTCAGCTTCCCAGTTTCAATCGCCAAGCGCACATTTTCCATCGCCCATTCTTCCATGGCGGTTTGAGTCTATCACATCGTCACAAGTTAGTCTTAGTCGAGGTTAGACGGTCAGTACCAGTGAACATACCTCAACAGTCCAAGTGCCCATATGGGGGACAAGCAACACATTAGGGTTCCGAACCAGACCAGGATGAATCTTGGGTTCTTCCTCGAAGACATCCAGACCGGCAGAGTAAACCTTGCCGCTGTCCAGGGCGTCAACGAGGGCTGCTTCATCAATAACGGCACCACGGGCAGTGTTCACGATGACGACACCATCTTTCATCTTGTCGAATTCGGGCTTGCCGATGATGTGGCGGGTGTTTTTCTGTGAGAGACCCATCTTCGTCAGCCCATCTGGCCATATAATATACCCACTGTAATAGTGGATGGCCACTTAAGCGGAAAAACCCACATTCAAAGGCAAGTTCAAACTGATCACATCACTCTTGGCCAACAGCTCGTCAAACGTCACATAATCAGCTCCACCGGCGAGCTCCTCTGTCAACTGCCGCCGGTTATGGTAGATGACTCTCATGCCAAATGCCTCGGCCTTCTTCTTTAGGTTACGGCCAATACCGCCCATTCCCAGAATACCCAGCACTTTGCCCTCGGGATCATGGCCCAAGGCAGGGAGTGGTTGTCCGCGCCACTTGCCTTCACGCAGGGCGAGCATGCCCGTGTTGAAGTTGCGGAGAGCTCCGATGATCAGAAACATGTTTACATCAGCGGTGGCGTCGTCGACAGCTGTTGGGACATTTGAGACACGGACGGGTGGTGAGCGAGCGCTGCAGGCGTGGACGTCGACTTGGTCGTATCCGGCGCCTATATCGCCCCATGAGCTTCTATTCAACACAGGTAGTAGCACGAGTTGGTGGATGAGGGAACAAACCGCAGTGGGCCAGGTACTTCAACGAGCTCGGAAGGGCATTCACCAATTCCTCATCTACCAGGCCGGTGATGCTCACCGAGTCGAAGGTGCGGTATGCGGCGACTACGCCGTCGAGCTTGCCGTCTTTGCATTCTTGGATAAACTCGGCACGGTTGGTTGCGGTTGGTTCGACTAGCTCTGCGATATCACTTAGGGATTGCCACGTTTTGTGCGCGCTATATCATTGGAGTGGGCTGTTAGATATACACATATTAAGATGGCTGTATAGTATAAAGTGGGGGTTAACCGTACTGGATGATCTTTCCCAGGAGTAGAACCTTGGACTTGGTATTGGCTGAAGCCATTTTTACTACTTCTATAAGTACAACAATGGTCAGCAAGACTTTGAAGAGACTAATTATATATTCAAGAAGCAAAATGAGTCAGAAGTCAAGTACGCACTTGAATTAACCCGAGGGGAGATAAGGCGCGGGGAAGTTGATATAATGTTTGGCCGAGGGCAAGTCGAGTCTCAATTGCTGTTGCCACAACAATCGCAAAGACGTAATTCAGATCAATCTGAGACCGCAGAAGTGCACTTTACCTCGAGGCTAGAAGAGAAGAAGAATAGAGGAAGGACAAGAAGCGAAGGAGGGGGAATAGACGAGAAGGAATGACTAGAAATTCCTCCGCCGCAACGACGAACTTCCCCCACGTGCCCCACTTCTTATCATTCAATTTCCTTCTCTGGTTCGAATTTATTTCTCCAACTAGACTCGCAAATGATGCCATCTAGTGATCGGGATTTCTCCGCATTCTCAGCTTCATTTTTCTCGGCCGTAACGAGAGAGCTGTTATTGCGATTGAATCTCTCAAAAGAGGCTCATCGTCGGAGATACCCGCGATGGCAATGGTTTATACATGGGAATCTCCGATTAAGTACCCGCGGGTAAAGAACCACTCCCAATGGACTATCAACTGCCGTGCCCCGGACTTATTCAAGGTTCGGAAAACTGCCGATACGAGGCGACAGACAGATGGATCAGCGGCATAAGTGTTGCTATCTGGATTAGTCAAAATTCTCCAGCGTTGTTCTGCAAAGGTTTCCTGGTGCACAAAGGGTTGGCTGGTGACAAGATTTATACTAATTAAGGCGCAACATTATGAAACTACAAGAATCGCTAGGGTCAATAACGGTGTGCATAATTAATCCGCTTCAGGAGAGAAGAACGATACATAACAAGAGGCTCCTAGGATCCCTACATTACGGTCAAATGGCCATGGAGAATAGGAACTTAGGCTTGCCCCTCAAAAAGCACCCTCGTCCAGTCGAATCGCCTCCACCGTTTCTTAAATCCATCAACTCGTCGATCGCCTCCACGGTTCCAGCGGCCCTGCCGCTTAATCACATCTGGGGCTAGATCCAACATTCCTCCGATGACTTCTCGTGCAAAGAGATCGCCTCGGGGCCAGCGGTTTTCGTCCTCGACTACATGCCCTAAACCACCATCAAGTTCGAACCAGACATGGAAGTACGGCATCTCTTTCACCAGCGTACGGCGGAAGGCGGATCGGCCCAATCCTTGCTTAGATTTAGCTAATGTGTCGATTAACTTCTTGTGCTGAGACCATTCTGAGTCTGCGGCGAGAATGGCCTCTTTGAAAAAGGCAGGAGAAGTCTCCCCCAGCTCATATGGCAAGGGCACTACCTCCATTGCCGCGTGCCTCTTTCGGTGAGGCTGGGCTGCGTTCTCATAGAAGATAACGTCGCGGCCTTGGTCGTGATACATGCGGGTCAAGCTCTTCATGAAATTGCGGATTTCCTCCCATTCATCATCATCACATTCTAAAAGATTCGTTCGGTGTTGAATGGGGACAATGGTAGCACACCCTTGGTTGAGTTCAGGCTCTGTGGGAAGAGTAAGATAAACCCTAGTCGCCAGAGATACCACAGGGGCAATAGGCGGAGTATTAGTATCTTCATGATGGCAAAGAGGACAATTGTCCAGGATTCGGTTCATCTTCTGGAATTCACTGATAGTTGTATTCTTGAGGTTGATTTCAGACTGATGCACCCGTCGTGCTAGTTTGGAGGCGTTGTCGTCCATGTACTCCAAATCATTCTATTCCAAGTTTATTAGTCCCCCGGATGTGGCTATATATATCAGTTTGGGGGAGCTTACCTCGAATTTGGCATCCTTTGCTATTCTCTCCGCTAGCCGTTTCCCTTCTCCGCCGAACTGATCCCGGGTTCTTCGCTCCTCGCGAAGCATATCTTCGATGCTCATGTCCTCATTCTCTTCCACTTGGCCCCGTTCTCGGCCTCGTTTAGTATCCACAGCTTTGACTTCATTTCTCTTGCCAGCAAGCATCCGATTCTGCTGCACCCCCAACACCACAACACCAGGGTCCTTTCGGTTCGCCATGGCTGCTGCCGCGGCATTGTATTGCTCTTCAAGCTCGCCAGCATCAGGAGAGCCTTTGAGCTTTGCCTTCATCATCTGTGCCTTAAGTCGGTTGAGCGCTGTTAAGTCAAGGGGCTGCGTAGTATTCTGTGGTGATTCTGTAGCGATCGGTTTGCCCTGGCCATGAGCTTCTAACTCCTGTTCAGGGTTCCGGATATGCTCGTGTGTATCACGGTGGACGCCCTCCTGTAGCTTTCTCTCTTGGAAAAGCTCACCCGATGGCTTTTCTTTCCCTACGTATCCCTCACCGTACCGCTCGCGACGATCTAGTTCCGCCTCTTCCTCGCGCGCATCATCGAAGGAACGTAAATCCCCGAAGCGCCCGATAGCAATTTCCTCCAGTGACTTCCCGCTTTCCTCGGCCTCCCTGTAAACGGCATTCAGTTTAGTCATCCTCCACTGTGAGCCAGAGTCACCGAAGGTGTAGTCAACATCGTGCTGCGCCTGTTCTTCCTGAATTTCCTCTAATGCCTTTCCATCCTTAAGATCGTGCAAGTGTTGATTCAGTTCTCTACCATGGATTTTGAGCTCAAAGTCTGCTTGTAGCATCTTGGGCTTTGGCTCCTCCTCCAAGCGCGTCGTATCACGCCGATGCACGTAGTCAATGTCCAGCGCCGACGGAGCTTCCATCCACGCATCTCGCTTTAAGCGAGTTGGTTCCTCCTGAACTACCTCCTTCGCAGCGGACGCTTCGTTGTCTTTGCTTTCATGTCGATGTCGGCGTTTATGGGCATGGTCGCGATCGTCTCCATGGTCGGTAGAATGGCGTGACCGTTTATGACGATGTCTATCCTCATCCCTGTGTCGCGGATCTCTGTGCCTATCGGACTCACGCTCTCTGGATCTGGACGAATGGCGGCGATGGTGGTGATGGCGGTGATGTCTTGAGCGATCCCGACTGCGGTCTCGGTCGCGATGTCGATGCCGTTCTTTGTCACTTTTCTCGCGCCGTTTCCCCTGATCCTCCGCCAATGACTTTTCAAAATCCTCCAGAGTCATGTTTATCGGTGGTAGGAGTGATCCGTGCGGTGTGATACCTGTAGTGCAGCGAAAGTTCGAAAGGCGAAACTGCCGAAACAAAAGACTAAAGCGGAAAAGGCGCTAATGACGTCTGGCCGGCCTTTTGGACTCCACCCCGAGCAGATCCTCAAAAAAGTACTCCCCGCGCGACTGGAAGAAATTATTTGATTTTTTATTTTTATTTTTTCTCGACCATCACACAGCTCTTGTTCTCCCGTGTTTCACCTCAGTGATACATACCAGATACTCACTACTACCTGAGCGATCTTACACACGGGAAAGAGCAGCCCTGAGATAAATTTTACTTGACGCTATTCATCATGGCGCAATCTCCTGTGGCCGTTGTCTGCGTGGGCATGGCAGGTAACAAAGCTAGATGGTTTCTTGGTCGGTGCTACAGTAATGCTAACTGGTTTTATCTTTAAACTTAAGGCTCCGGAAAGACGACTTTTATGCAACGAATCAACTCGTACCTCCACTCACAGAAGAAGATTCCCTACGTTTTGAATCTGGACCCCGCCGTGTATTCGGTACCGTTCGAGAGTAACATCGATATCCGTGATTCCATCAATTACAAAGAGGTCATGAAACAGTACAACTTGGGCCCCAACGGTGGTATTCTGACGTCGTTGAACCTCTTTGCAACAAAGGTGGATCAGATTATCGCACTGCTGGAGAAACGCACCGCTCCGAACCCAAGCAACCCAACTGCGAAGCCTATCGAGCATATCCTGGTCGACACCCCCGGACAGATCGAAGTCTTTGTATGGAGTGCATCAGGTAGTATCCTGCTTGAGACCCTGGCTTCCTCATTTCCCACCGTGATTGCATATGTGATTGATACCCCGCGTGCAAGCTCCACGAGTACTTTTATGAGTAATATGCTTTACGCTTGCAGTATTCTCTACAAGACTAAGCTACCGATGATTCTTGTGTTCAATAAGACCGACGTTCAAGATGCCGAGTTTGCAAAAGAGTGGATGACCGACTTTGATGCCTTCCAGCAGGCTTTGCGGGAAGAAGAAGAATCGGGTGCCTTCGGAACAGAGGGTGGTGCCGGAGGTTTCGGTTCAGGAAGTGGATACATGGGCTCGCTACTGAACAGCATGAGTCTAATGCTCGAAGAGTTTTACCGGCATTTGAACATTGTGGGTGTGAGCTCAATGACCGGAGATGGCATTGACGAGTTCTTTCAAGCGGTCGAAGAGAAGCGTCAAGAATTCGAGCGTGACTACAAACCGGAACTGGAGCGCAAGAAGAAGGAGCGCGAAGAGACCCAGGCAGCTCACCGGGAACAGGAACTGGGCAAGTTGATGAAAGATATGAATGTCTCTGGGTCTAGTAAGGGCAAACGTGCCGAGAACGAGGCGGAAACTGTTAGTGAAGCGGAGGAGGAGGAAGAGGAACTCGCGGCTGCAAAGAAAAAGGGAGACTACGAAGAGCCTGAGGACGATGATGATGATAGTGATGAGGAGTCGGGTGTTCCTCGAGCTGCCGATAATGATGGGCTCTCCCAGCGGTATCAGGATGCACTTGCCGATTCTAAGGCCGCGCCATCCGATCAAGATCTTAGCTTTGCCAGATACTTGCGAGCAAGCCAGATGAACCAGTGATTTTTGAATCTCCTTTGTTTTAGTCGTCTTGATCGATTTCCCCCGGCTTTGGTTTATTGCACGGCGTTAACACTGCCCATTTGACATCTCATACTTTTTTGTCCAATACTTGCATGAATAAATGAACTAGACACGAGATAAATGGTCGAACTGAAGGTATCCTACATAAGAAGAAATTATATTGAAATGATCATGTTTATTAGAGAGCGAGCTCCCAATGCAAACAAGACAAAAAAATAGGAGACGTTATGATGTCAGAGCTGAAGCTCCGCTGGTTGATTGTTGCCTGCTCTTTTTTCTGTTTCTTTTCGCATCAATTGGCACAAACTGTAACAAACATTGTCAGTTTTGTAAACTCCTATTGATCCATAAACTCTTGATTGATCCAATCTCATCATGGATGTACGTTCACTGATGATCTGCCAACCCCGCGTTAGAACAAAGAGCAGCTAACGATCGTCCCCCGACAGGTATTCTATGCTTATACCTACTCCACAGCGGGATGGCTCTCGCTGCAGAGTATATCCTTGATCACCGTCCCGCAGATCATGGCAACCTTGCTGTTGGATGAGACTAGATCGGCTTCTGGTAAGTGCCATTTTATCCAGGTTACTCAAGACAGCGTGCAATTGGCACCATGGCTTGAAAAAACTCACCCTAACCCACCTATAGAAATGGAGATATACTTCGCACGCTGCCTGGGGTTTAGTTTACTCACCATTGCGGTCCTAACGGTGATGCTGACGGGATCGATCCCTTTGAACTCCACGGTGTCAGAGCCAGTGACCACAGAGGATAACGATCCCAGGGGACCATATGCCGTTCCCACATTGATCGTAACAGCCCTTTTCCAGGGATTTTCCGCCTTCTACGCTTATACCCGGTACTTATCCTCAGGTCACATTGCCTTTGCTATAGGAATGATCGGGTACTCAGTGGTGGCCGCCATTGGTCTTTGGTGTGTACTCTTTGCCAGCAGTAATGGGAAGATTAGTCGGAAGACAGGCGCAGATAAGAGAACGACGGGATTTCCATTCAAAAACACAGAGGCAGCCAAGAAACATGCGTGGAAGAAAAGCTCATAAAAAAAATGGGCACCCTTTAGAGGCCAAATGTCTGGATGATTCGGTTATGTCGGATACTACGGGGGATCGATCTATCTGGATCCATAATGAGCACATCTAAACCGCGCATGAGTACCTTAGATCCGTTTGAGTCACGAGGGTCAAAGCCAACGCCAAAAAAGGGCCAAGACCGGCGCTTATCGGGTGGCTGAACAATCGCTGCTAGTGTGTACACAGGATGCATAAATTAACTAAGAGCCAATGACGTTATCGAAGACATGATATTCCTTTACTTGATTTGTTGCGGTGCTCCGACCGAACTGGATTCAGATGAAGATGAAGGGGATTTTTGATCAGTCTCGTCCCGAGGCACGGCATTGCTCCTCTCGAATCCGAGACAAAAGATGAATGCCTAGAATGACAACTGAGAGCGAGAAATTAAAAAGAGATTAAGGGTTGACGATTGCCAACGGAAGCCCGATGGGAGAAGAAAATGCCAAGAATTTAGCTGCCTGGGGAGTTAGTGCCGTTTAGCCTCAGGCCACAGTTGAATCCCTGCCAATCACGAGGCAGGGCTCACCACCTTCCAACCCTTACACAAGGCTCACCCTAACTCTTTCCTGCAGGTCCTCTGCTTACTTCCCCTCTTTTCTTTCCCTAAAATGCCCCGAGAATGCTGTGGGGAGGCTAGGAAAGCTACGAAGGCTTAATGTCTAATTTCCCCCCCGACCTGCCCTGGCAAGTCAGGTCGCTGGACCCATCGAATGCAACATCACCAACATTAATTAACCTGCAGCTCTGTCAGCCCACAGGAATTAACCAGATATGCCAAGAACTTGCTTGGCTGGTTTATGCATGAAGAGAGATGGGCACTAGTGCGTGCGGCACCACCAACCTCACCTGCAGAGGGCTCATGCACCTGAAAGACACTGCCAATGATCATTTGACTCGCCAGGTCAACGGGGTTGGACTTAGAACTTCTTGCTAATGCCGATGCCGTCTCTTTGACTGCCACCTTTCTTGGCTTCCCCTCTTGGCCCCTCCCGTCCCTTGATGCCAAGGGCCTTGGTCGCTCGGACTCCCGGCGGTAGGCTTGCCACCTACTCATGGGTTGCGGAGATAGGCCATTCAGGTGGTGCCTAATGGGATACTCTGATGCCGACGGGAAGTCCGGCTGCTTGCTGGTGTCATTGGCTGCTCGAATGACTCGGAGTATTGTCGTCTTGCAGGACTTTTGTGTCACAACAGGGGCCGACAGTTGGCGTGGCATATGCCTTTACTGCGAGCCATGGTCATACTGCGGCAGGAAATCCCCCCTCAAACAGGGCAAATGTGCCCAAGTCCTGATATTATCAGAAGACCTTCAGGAGCACATGCCTGTTCGCATAACCCTCGTGTAGCACCAGAAATTGCTTAGCTTAGCTTCTTTGACTGAGGGGCCAGAAAGTGCTTATCGCAAAGATCCCACTTTTTTGTGTGATAGCCCCTCCTGCGGCCCTTGACCAAGCCGTTCTCCCTCGCCAATACCGAAAACGCGATATTATAGGTGCGCATGGTTATTATTCTTTTTCTTTTTCTTTGCTTCTCATGCAGCCCATACGTTGCTGGCTACACATTGGGGCTCATTCTTCGAAGTTTAGATTCCAACAAGACCTCACCAACCAATAAGAACCCTTGATTCCTGATAAAAGACGTGGGAAAAAGCGGGTATCGCGTGAGGATGCCAAGCAAAGGTAATGGGTCACATTGATCTCTGTCGCATTTTTAGGATGATCTTCGCTCCTAAAGGCATCGCCCGCGGCATTAGGTCCTTTCTGTCCAAGATATCGTTTACTCCTCTCATTATGGCGAGCGACTGTGTGAATTAATTGACTGAGGGATATACCACCTTCCCGTTGAAGGTACCAAGCCACTACCCTGAGCGTGAGTTACTCCTTCGAGGAAAGTGCTCTATGCTGGTCTCTGCCAAACCCTGCAATCTCGAGAACTTGTCATAGCCTTGTGTTATTCACGGTCTATCGGAGCACCCGTTCTTGACTGAAGCGGGTCAGCGTCCGTGGTGGTCATCATCATTCTCATCCTTCCTCATGTCCGCTGATTGATAGAGTAATTTCCGGTGGAGCACAACGCCGTCCTCTGAGAAATGCAATGTCACCCTGTAAGTTTCAACTACGCTCTGTAGTACAGACCATCCTTGCCATTGCATGCTGTACAAGTGATCTATATTCGTAGAAATTGCTCGAGAACGGGGACAGATAGTGCTCCTGAATGTTATAAATACCACATGCAGCCCTCGTCCATCCTCCCTTCCATCATCAAGCCAGCGGTTTCTATCCTCCGACTTGATTTGTTCTCGCACATCTTTGCAAGCTTCTCATCATGCAGTCCATCAAGCGTACCTTGCTCCTCCTCGGAGCTGTCCTTCCCGCGGTCCTCGGTGCCCCTGTGCAGGAGACCCGCCGGGCCGCCGAGAAGCTTCCTGGAAAGTACATTGTCACGTTCAAGTCCGGCATCGACGAGGCGAAGATTCAGGAGCATACTACCTGGGCTACCAACATTCACCAGCGTAGTCTGGAGCGTCGTGGCGCCACCGGCGGTGATCTTCCTATCGGTATTGAGCGCAACTACAAGATCAACAAGTTTGCCGCCTATGCAGGCTCCTTCGACGATGCTACCATTGAGGAGATCCGCAAGAACGAAGATGTTTGTGATCATCCGCTCCCAACTTTGAACGACGACTGACTCGCGCCCAGGTTGCCTACGTCGAGGAGGACCAAATCTACTACCTCGATGGACTGACTACCCAGAAGAATGCGCCCTGGGGCCTGGGAAGCATTTCCCACAAGGGCGAGCAGAGCACCGACTACATCTACGACACCAGTGCCGGCGAGGGCACCTATGCCTACGTGGTGGATAGCGGTGTCAATGTCGACCATGAGGAGTTCGAGGGCCGCGCCAGCAAGGCCTACAACGCTGCTGGCGGTCAGCACGAGGACAGCATCGGCCATGGCACCCACGTTTCCGGCACCATTGCGGGCAAGACTTATGGTATTGCCAAGAAGGCCAGCATACTTTCGGTCAAGGTTTTCCAGGGTGAATCGAGCAGCACTTCCATCATTCTTGACGGCTTCAACTGGGCTGCCAACGACATTGTTAGCAAGAAGCGTACCAGCAAGGCGGCAATCAACATGAGCTTGGGTGAGTTTACCTTGTTCTTCACTGCCGGCACTGATACTCGGAATGCGTGAGCGCTAACTCCAAGAACACAGGCGGTGGCTACTCCAAGGCTTTCAACGATGCGGTCGAGAATGCATTTGAGCAGGGTGTTCTCTCCGTTGTCGCTGCCGGTAACGAAAACGTACGTTTCCCCTTCCCTGAGCAGAGATGAATCCGTAACTGACTTCATTCTCTTAGTCTGATGCCGGCCAAACCAGCCCTGCCTCTGCCCCCGATGCCCTCACTGTTGCCGCTATCAACAAGAGCAACACCCGCGCCAGTTTCTCCAACTTTGGCGAGGTCGTCGACATCTTCGCCCCCGGTCAGGATATCCTTTCCGCCTGGATTGGCTCCTCCTCTGCCACCAACACCATCTCTGGTACCTCCATGGCCACTCCCCACATTGTCGGCCTGTCCCTCTACCTCGCTGCTCTTGAGAACCTCAGTGGCCCTGCTGCCGTGACCAAGCGCATCAAGGAGTTGGCCACCAAGGACGTCGTCAAGGATGTTAAGGGCAGCGTTAACCTGCTTGCTTACAACGGCAACGCTTAAGTACCAGGTGTACATCGGAGAGTTTCCCCACTGTTGCAGGAACACAGTGGTGATTAGAAAACGAAGAGTGTTATGATTCCGACGGATATATGCATGGCACGCATACAGCGTGATACATAGGCTGTTTGCTCAAGAATTAGGATTTTATCTGAATCCATGTACAGAGTTTACTTATATTAGTAGTCAATGAAATCTTGGCTTTCTAATTTGTCCGATCTACAAGGGGTAGTCGATCGCAGAACGGACTAGATGTGCAGGGGATGAAGATCACCCGCTCTTAGCAAGACCTCTGGTAGTTGTTGGCCATAGCTTGAACGCGAATCATGACCCTATTTATTTGTAGATTGCAGACCATGTCACATGACAAGGTCCTCTTCGGATTGGCATCATTACAAAGTAGTAGTTGATAAGCTCCCGGGAAATGAATTAGGGCTGGCGTTCCAATCTCTAAGTACCGATGTTGCCGTATGGAAGATAGTAAGCTTACTGGTACACCACAAGTAGATATCCATTCTAAAATGCATATTTAAAATACTAATCTAAGTTAAAACAGTCTCTAAGATATATTTCCGGGTTCGACGCTGGTAAAATAAAAGGTACTATGTAATTCCGTGTTGATGATACATATTTGAAATGCCCGCCGTTCGTCGAGTCAGATCAGCTAAACGAAGCACCACGTCTTCCACCACTGCTAATTCCTAACTACTCCTATTAAAGTTAATTTTACAGTAGAAGTCATAAGACCTATTTTCAAAACTTGTACATAGAGGCTCTGCCGATAGCCCTAAGCCGGGTGATTGGATCGGGGAAAAGGTGAACGGCTACGAAGCGAAGATAGCCGGAGAATGAGACCTTTATATTTTGTGAACTTTTCATAAGACAATGTCGAGATTTGTGTATACCTTAAACTATTGAATGATGTGACCTCATCCTTTTCATCTCGTTACTGCTTGTATTGAAATCGGTAGTGGTGTTCATATATAAATGAGATTAGCGAGGATATGTCACCGGAAACACAACAATCTTTTGGATCACGCTGGTTGATCATTGGAACGAAAGAGCCTAGACCTATGGTGTATTATATTAGGTAACAGCACACGATGCTGGTAGTCAAATTGGGAAAACCTTCATGGGATATTCTCGGTTACGACTCGGAAGGGGGAGGGGGGTGGACCTAGGTTATACATCTACAGGACAAGGCTGGTTCGGATAATTCTACGTAATATAATTCGTCCCACGTCCTATTGGAGGCGCATTCTCCACGATGATACATAGGTCATAGGGTGTAAGGGAGAAAGCCCGGAGAATTTCACGGTTTTGAACCAAACCTGAAGCTCCATGTCTTAGCCCTATCGCCGGCGAGCAATGCCAGCTTGGGAAAAGAACTCTGGGAGCACCCTGCGACAAGGGAACGTTTCCTTGTCCTTACCCAGTTGACGCGTAGGCTATGGGGCAAAGAGGCCCAAAAAGGGATAGAAACGCTGACGAACATTGCTGGCGACGCCGAGCATTCTAGTAGTCAGTCTTCCGTCAGGTATGTAGATCTTCCTCTCAAACGAGAGGTATGGCCACCAAGGGGTAGCTGTGCTAAAGTTTCTCGGACGCTATATCGCCTGAATCGATGTTGTAAGAGACCAAAGAATTCGGATCTTGGCCGTTGGAGTGACTTCAGGGAGCACCCAAAATGACCAACTGTGGACCAGGTGACTAAAGCTGTGCCACTGGGAATAGCATCATACCTCACTCGACACTTAGCGGGGATCTGCACACCCAGCCCCTTGCATTCTGGGGAAGAGAGGAAAGCTTGCAGCTACGTATGTCTGTTTGATGTCTGTTTGCTTCAGCAAGATGTAGTTCAGATTATTAAGTCAAAATCCTGATGCTGGGGCCCTTCTACCTGATATTTTATGCTTGCTGCTTTCAGCATCCAAGTTTCTTCTTTTGACTTGGTCTATTGGATCCTTTTTTGCCGCCTAAGATGAACGACAAAATGCCCGAGATCGCCATGTCTCAGTTTGAGACAGACAAAGGCATCTTGGAGCCACATTTGAGACAATATGGCCTGGAGTTTGCGACTGACGGATTCCATATCCGATGGGCGAAAGGAAATCAGCGTCATCCTCGCAATTGGAGCATTGTACGGAAAGCTTATGACACTAGTTTGATCATCTTCCTAGAGCTTTTCACGTACGTTGACTGTCTGCTGCTCTGTTACACGATGAGGCTCCTTGCTAACAGACCGTTGTATACAGGACTGCCATCAGCGCTTCCGGCGTACGTTCCCCAGTCTCTCCCTGTTCCCCCTTGAGAACATTACGCTGACTGTCATAGTCCACTGCAGCCAAGGATGCCATAGGTGAATTCAACATCGAGAAGGAATTATCTATATTTGTATTTGTATCAATGTCCGTTCAGCACCTTTCAACCCTGTGGACTCTCACCTGAATTGCGTTTTTCTGATAGCTTGTGGGACAATAGATATCTGTTGGGCCAAGGCCTCGGTTCCATCGTTTTCCCTCCGTACTCGGAAGCCTTCGGACGCAAGAACCTCTATGTACTCAGTACGGCGCTGTACAGTATCTCCTGTGCTATCGTGGCTGCTGTCCCATCTTTATCTGGCGTTGTGATTGGTCGTCTTTTCAGCGGAATTGTCTCGGCGATCCCAACAACGGTTGTTATTGGCAGTATCGAGGATATGTTCAATTCGAGAGACCGAGTCTGGGTACTTTGTCTCTGGGCCATAGTGGCTAATCTAGGCTTGGTGACCGGCCCTATATTGAGCACCTTTATCGTTGCGGATCTGAATTGGTATGGCTTCGCTCACTCAAACTCTGACACCAGCACTGATAGGAGTATATAGGCGATGGTTATTCTATGTTGCCGCCATTGTGACCGGTATCCTCACCTTCATCCTATTGACCCTCCGCGAGTCCCGTCCCTCCCTGTTGCTGGCACGCGAGGTTGCACAGCTGCGCAAAGTTACCGGAATCGAAACGCTTCAGGGATTGAACCCAGACCGCACGCCAGACCTGAAGACCTTTGTGCGTACGGCGCTGTTCCGCCCAGTGCGCCTCTTCTTCACCGAGCTCATTGTCTTCTTCGTGTCCGTGATCAGCGCCATCGCTGTTGCTCTGGTTTATCTCTTCACCGAAGCCTTGCCTCCAGTCTATGAAGATTTCGGGTTCAGCACTAGACAAGCATGTCTCCCTTTCATTGCCATTGGAGTCGGTCTGAGCTTCGGGTTCTTTACCCGCTATATCGATCTGCATATTATCGACAAGCACCGCCAGAAGGGGCAGCCACTCTTGCCCGAGCACAAGCTGACTGGTTTCTGGATTGGAGCCTTCATCCTCACAGTGGGACTCTGGGCTTTCGCCTGGACTGTTCCCCCATACAGGACTGACCTGCACTGGATGGTGTCTGTCTTCTGCCTGGTGCTGGTTGGATATTCACTGAATGAGATTGAATACGTGCTGGGTGGGTACTTAACAGACAGCTATCTCAGCTATGCAGCCAGTGGACTGGCTGCCCTTGCTATTGTCCGAGCCCTCTTGTCTGCCATCTTGCCGCTCGTCGCTCCGCCAATGTTCTCGAACCTCGGAAACAATATGGCTATCTCCGTGTTGGCGATTATTGCGACCATGTTTTGTGCAATTCCGCCCCTGTTCTCACGGTTTGGGAAGCAGATCCGCGCCAAGAGCAAGTTTGCTAAATACAGCTTGCGCATGTATAATGAGCATAGTGTTGACGAGGACGGATATTAAGAATGATGGCTTATGCTTTTAAAGGTAGAGGAACGATTTACGGCCTTGATAATCTCGACGATGTGGTATAGATTTTGAGGCAAGAGGTGATGAGGAGGAGGAGGAGGAGGAAAACAAGTGATGGGAAGGAAGTTGTTGTCAACCGAACGGGTAGTTTGCTATAAATACGCTGGGCGAATTCACGATTTATTTCAATTACTATTTCATTTATGTGGTACGAAACGGAGGTATCACAAAACACTCGATGATTGCTTTGGAGTTTCCTGTCCTGTTTTTACCCCCAATGATTTTGACATCCATTTAAATAATATAGGAGCAGTTTCAGAATAAATAAATAGATCTTATGCAGTGTTCCGTCTTTTTATTTAGTCAAATCTTTCCATGGTTTTCAACGGATTTTCTGCCAGTTCAAAAACCCCTGCCGCTTCAACCTCCCCGCCATTTCCCATCTTCCCCTTCGCAAAAGCAGCATCCCTTTTCCATCTACAATAACAATTGAGTACCTCCGCGATTGATATTGTTTGCCTTCTTGTTCAGTGAAAAATAAAAAGAATATTTATTATCCTTCTCAATTCAGAATGGATAATCCGGGAATTCAATCCTCGGATCTCCCCCATTCCCTCCAGCTTGACTCGCTCTCAGGAGTTGCTGAGGATGCATCCACATTGGCAGCAGCACAAGCACAAGCACAAGCACAACAACACCAACATGGAATACAAGAACATGTCCCGAGTGCTGAGTCCACCGACGCACAGTCATTGCATCCTCTACAAACCGCCATTGAAACTTTAGACTCATATTCAATCCAGCAACATGAGGGGCCAAATGAAGCCCGACCATTTCGAGAACCATACAACAACAACCTTCTTGTAAGTATTTATATAAGCTGAATAGTTCTAGTAGCAGGTCCACTTTCATACAAAACCCGGCGAATATTGAAATAATGGCTAACTGGGAAAGTCCCGCGACGATTCCCATTCTCTGCACATGCAGCCACAGTGCAATACCTTCTCTGAGGCCTCGATCTTTTCACCCAAACAGGGCGGTTACCTCCGAGACATGCCGTCCGTCTTGGATCCGCCTGACCTGGACCTGTGGAGAGAGAGGTTGTTTAATGTGGACGAGACGATCGTGCTAAGTGAAGAGCAGTATGTTTAATCCCACGTTAACATTTTCTGTATATGTACCTACCAGAGCGAGAGCAGAAAGAAATGGGGAGCGTCCGTATAGAATAATGCGACGGACAACCATCTGACAAAAGCCCAATAGATTCCTGACCTATTTCCCGCATGTGGATAACATCTACTCGCACCGTTCTACGCAGCATTACAAACGCAAGCCGCTTATATCACATTACTGGGACTGTCGATTGAAAGGTCGTCCGCCCGGGACGCCTAAGTCCGATGATCCGAACAAGAAGAAGCGGAAACGAACAGCGCGCCAACGGGATCTCTGCGACGTGAAGATCAAGATCACGGAGTACTTCCCCGGATATAGCCCGATGATGATCGCGGAAGGCGCCGCCAATGACGCTGCGGCGGCTCTGGGCGCGGAGTCACTGTCCAGCGGAGATGTAGCGTTTCCTCCGCATGAGGATCCGGAACCTCGAGATCGCCAGCCATTTGGTGTGCTGACGCCTAATCCGCCGTTGCCTGAGGGACATCCTGGGGCCAATGGACAGCGGTTCTTTACCATCCAGCGGGTTAACGGCAATGGTGCCAATGGGAAGAATGACGGGGTAAGTGGTGGGCATCGGCATACATTAGAAGAGAGTGATCGGGTGAAGAAGAATAGTGTTCAGCGGTATCTGCTGAAGGAGGCGAGAGAGAAAAAGAAGGCAAGTTCGGTAAGTTAAAAATTCTCTCATCGTTGAAATTTGGCTTTTGTTTTCTATCCGAGAAAAACAAGAGACGAACCTTACGTCACGTCACATCAATAGGAATCAACCATTCCTCCTTGTCTCTTTTCTCTTCCCCGCTTTCTCACACGTTATTGAATGGTCTCGTTTTCAATGTTCCTCAGATCCCTTTTTCAAACACAAAGACAGCGGCTGTTTTCCTATCAAAAGTTCCCCACCATTTGTTTACCACCAACAGTCCATTCTCGCAAACTAATTCAACCCGCGCAAAAGAGCAGGACAATGTCTACCCAAAACCAACCTCCGCAGAAGACCTATCACACAAAGGCCACCGGTTTGGCTGCCGTGACAGTGTCCAATCATTCCAGGGAGAATGAATTGAAATTGTACGGCAGCTGTTTCTGGTACGTACTAAAACTATAGTGATCTCCAATAATCTGAATGTACTTCAAACTAACTTTCCCCTAGTCCCTTCGTGCAGCGTGTATGGATAGCCTTGGAGGCCAAGGGCATTCCTTACCAGTATATCGAAGTAGATCCTTACAAAAAGCCTCAGTCCCTATTGGAAGTGAATCCAAGGGGCCTTGTCCCTGCCCTGCGGCACGGAGATTGGGGATCGTACGAAAGTACTGTTTTGCTGGAATATGTATCAAACCCCACGACCTGACGCGAGCCATATTTGAAGAGATACTGACGCTTTCATGCAGCTTGAAGACTTGAACACTGGCCCACCTCTGCTCCCGCCAGGGGATGCGAAATTGCGAGCCCATTGCCGACTCTGGGCAGACTTTGTGAGTTTTGTCCAAGATAACGCCCGCAAGTGGCATACACTGATGAATGCAGATCAACCGCAACATAGTGCCAAATTTCTACCGTGTCCTTCAGGAACAGGCTGAGCAGAAGCAAATTTCAAATGCGCAAGAACTAAAGGATGCATTCGCTACGCTAGTGAATGCCGCCGACACACAAGGGCCATTTTTCCTGGGAACTAATATGTCCTTTGTGGATATCCAGGTGGCTCCTTGGATCATCCGATTGAACCGCGTCTTGAAGCCCTACCGCGGTTGGCCGGACCCCGATGCAGGGACTCGATGGGGCGCCTGGGTCAACGCGATCGAAGCTAATGAGCACGTCAAAGCGACAACAAGTGACGATGGGCTCTATTTTGATAGTTACGAACGATATGCCCGTAAGCTCCCTTGATAAGAATCTATTGTCAGAAATCTGACGCTCGTCCAGAAAACCGCCCCAACACTTCTCTGCTAGCGAATGCGATCAATTCTGGAAGAGCTCTTCCATGATCACTGTGTAGGGGACAGTAGTATGGGTCTCTTGGCACAGTCTGCTGAAGTGATGTGGCGCGAAGCTGTTGGAGGGCTACCCTCCAAATGATCAGTAGCCCTAATGGGTCGTGGCCGGACCCGTCCCAATCAGAGTATTTCCCTTTGCGTGAGTTATGTCGATTTAGCGCCTCTGTTGAATCGGAAACCGCCTCTACCACTGCTGTCAGGGCCCCGAGGGCTGCGGATGGGCTGCCGGGGAGATTGTTGGTCATTTCCATTTCGGTCATTGGTCGGTTGCTTCTCCTTCCTCTGTACATAACTTGGCTTAGGGGATCCGGGATCGTAGAGCTGTTTAGATTTTCCGGACGCCGCCGAAGAATCTCTCTTATCCCGATTGTTGTCTCTTCCACTACCACGGCTTCTCCCTTTCCCTCTTCCCTCGTGCTTTGGTGGGGTCCCACTGCGTGGTGACGATGCGCCTGACGTAGTGCCAGAGGGGCTCCCGAACAATCTCTCACGTACTTCTTCGTACTTGCGTTGCTTCTCTTCCCGATTCCGCAGCGCAATGGCTTGGCGTTCCTCGGGGGTAGGCTCTGGTGGCTTGTTGTCATCATCCGAATCGTCGTTACCACCGTCCAGAGCCAGTCGTCCAAGACCAGCGGCTGCGGCGTTGACGGACGATGATTGCCGGGAAGGATGCGGATTACGACTCAAAAGAGTCACGGTCGGTTTGAACTCCTGTTTGAGAGGGACATCGGAGCGCGATTCCAAGAAATGAAACGTTTGTGGAGTTTCGCTGTATGTGGAAGAACGGTCAGGATGCAATTGCTCAGGACATGGACAGCACAAGAGAAAGGTTCTAACGAGGAAGATATACGCACGCTTCTGCCCATAGTTGCCGGTTAAATTCCGCCTGCTGCGCCCTGCGCTGCGCTTTGGTCACCTTAGAGGATACCTTCTTTTCCGGTGGAGGCGGGGTGGGGTCGGACGCTAAGGTCTGCAGAGGAGCTCGCAGTCAGATCAGTGGGTTATAAGAATTGAGCCAGAATGGTTGATCCGGTCCCCAGAAGACGGCTATGTATAGCGAGGAGGAGGATATACATCAGCTTGTCTTTCCCAGTCATCTTCCCATGCATCGGGTGTTTCAGCGGAGGACTTTGCGCTCATCGTTCACACGTTTAGTCTATGGCAAGCGAGGAAAATGCAGATGCAGAATGAACAAGGAATTCCAGATGCAAATAATGTATACCAGGATAGAAGAATGGGACCAAACCCTCTCCAAGAGTAGGAAAAATTGGGGAACTTGAAGTACAAAAGACTGACGAGGGAGGGGAAAGAGAAGTAAGAGCCATTAATTTCGAAGAGGGAAAATCTGCTGTTGCTTAGTTAAGGTTTCTTTCGGGGTTTACTCCGCCTTCCGCATGAACCACCACGTCAAACTAGTTCTAACGATAAATCCCACTGCCCTGAACTGAATATATCGATACCCGCTTTCGCGACTTTTAGCCAGAGATTCTCGTGTTCACTTTCAATATGGCTACTGGTATGTACATTCACTTTTCTCCTTGTGCACCCTCCCTCCGCCCGCCACTGAGCCTCTCTTTCACCAACCGCTCTTTATCCCCCGCATTGATCCTACCTCACCCAAGATACCCGTCTCCAAAAGCCCGAAAGTCCAGATCCCACTAACAAAACCAACCCAGATCCAGACGGAGACTCCCAAATGGCTTCTTCTCCCGAATCGTCTCACATGCACTCCGAAGATTCCCCAGTCGGATCGCGTACCCCCACGAACATCCGTAGCGCTACCTCCCAGTTCCCAGGCACCTCGGAGCTCTCTCCGCCCGGATCGCAGACACAATCCGTATCAGCTGATGTTGGGGGGCTCGCCGGGCTGGGGAATACTAATGCTTCTGGAGGCTCCGCGGAGACGACATCCGCTCAACAGCAGCAGCAACCGGGAGCATCATGGATGAATAAACGGGCGGAGGAGGAGTACCACCGGGCGATGGAATATGTGGTTGACCAGGACTTTAACCTAGGTGGGTTTACCTCGTGGTTGTGTTTGGTGGCAGAAGGCTTGGTTTCTAGGTGTAGTTTAGGTCAAGGCTGACCGTTGCGGTACACAGATGAGTTCGGGGACCCATTTGATGATAGGGATATGGAGGAGAAATTATTCTAGAGATATGGGTTACAGGAGAACATGGTGTTTAGGGTGCTTTTTATGTTCTTTGATGCTTCTTTGCTTTGAAGATTTGCTTGCGAATCCTGGTTTGAGACATGAATGATTTATGAGATATGATTGTCGAATTTGTGGGGTTTTTTTTGAGGATATGCTTGGAATGAGATGGGCGATCGAGTCTAAAGCATTTTACTATCCATATATGTCTTCTAGAATAGAAAAAAAGGGTGAGGTCCGAAATTGTGGTCAGCCCAAGTTGGAGGTGGTGATGGTCGTTCAAGGTGTAAGAAGACAAGGATGAACACCCAACGGCGATCTAAACATAGATCATTATATCATAGACACTTAAGTTAGCCCACATAACAAGCTATGATCCATTCCAGATAAAGAAAACATTTCTTCGAACCAAAGAAATCCACTCATCATTGACATTGGTCTCTTCAACTTTGTGATCTAAGTAGTCGTTGGCACAGCAACGGCCCGGGCCAAATCTAACGAAAACAATTCACTCTAGTCTATCATTTCATTTATTTAACTCCAGTCTCCACGCGCGCCTCGATCGCTTACCACGAGTCGATTTTACCCTACATTTAGTATCAGATCCCTTCATATTTATGAGATTGTGTATCGACATATCAAGACATCAATAGCGCCCATAGTCATCGCCTAGACCGTCGCTATTTGACGTCACGATTTGTTTCTATTCCTCGCATTGGTGAAAGAAATAATGTCAACCACTGCTGAGCCTGCGATGCGGGCAGAACCTGATTTACAGAAATGGTAAATATATCTTCCATTTACACATTCCACATATCATGGATTTTGAAGGACACAGATGATCTACCTGTCCCAAGCCGAGGCATTGATCTGTTTACCTTGAAACCCCCCCTTTTTTTGTTCCCGATGCTGTGACCGTCCCAATGGGGAAATCTCAGTCACTTGACGCAAGCCAAACACATACGACTCTTACACTGCCTGACACAGTCGCTGACCTTTTGTGAATCGCGCGATTTCTACAGTTCTCTTCCAAATCCTAGATTCCAACATCTCCAAGAAGACAGGTTCCGATTCACTCCTGTCAAGGTTGTAAAACCCGTCCCGCGCCTCTGGGATCGTCAGCCGTCCACCCCGTTTCTGGCGCGTCCAAAATCGCGGAAGGTGTGGAAGCGCTTCCGTTCCTCGTTCAACAGTATGAAGGCGCTGCAGCGTTTGATTTCCGCGCAGGGTGGTTCTGATGATCACGATGACCTACGCACCGAAATCAACACGGCGCGGAATGAAGATTACATGCGCGGCGTCAAGAGACGGTGTCTCGTGCATGATCCCGAGGAACAAGTAGAGACAAAGGCATCCCGAGGACGCTCTTTTCTAGAGACAAAATGGGAGTCAGAGGCCAGTGGGAAAAGGCGTAAGTCACCATCGCGTGTCCTTATCATGTTGTTGTTCTTCGGGAGCCGGTTTTGACTTTTAGTAAGGTAAATTTCCCGCCTATCGCGGTCTCGTGGACGGCTCCGAGCCTATGGTAGCCGATTCTCAGCCGCTAGGAGCCAGCGACAACGATGACAGCGATATTAGTTACCAAAACGCACACGATAATGCCACGTCAGGTGATGAGATTTTGCCGGATACGGTTGAAAGCGACGAATCGCTGGATGGCAGCCCAGACACACCTACCAGATTGGCTGCTTCCGCGGCCTATCCCCGCACGCTACATGGTTTACAAAGTGGGATGGATGGAACCACTGCCGATATAAAGGGATCCGATGATATCGGTCAGCCCGAGGCTGACTTGCCTGAGTCTAGCTCTCTGGAAGCTGGTCCTCCGGAGAATATCGAGGAGCAGGAACATGATGCTGTTTTGGGTGCCACTATGACGGACGACCTACAGTCTGAACAATGCGAATCACAGACCTCTGCAGCGATTTCCCAGGAAATTGTGCAGCAGACAGACGCCACAGAACCAGCAGCAGCGGCACCCGTGCAGGACCTGACTGCAGAACAGGAGTCGACTTTGGTTCGATCGGCACTACGGAGCTCTTTGGATGGCGAGGATGCCGAGTTACTCAATAACTTTTTGTCCAAAGCGAAAGCCAAACGGGAGGCCAAAGCCGCAGCAGCCGCGATGGTTACGCAGGATACAGAAGAGAAGGCCGTCCAGGAATACGTAGAGATCCCCGAAATTCCCACACCGCAAGGTCGCCGGGTCCTGGAAGACCTAGATGCCAATTCACCCTCACCGCAGAAAGCCCAGTTGTCTCCATCCAAGGTTTCGGGTAAGGAAATTGACGAAAATGAAGATCAACCGCCTTCCAGTCCCCGTCGAAGCACCCGAACTCGTAGTGTCAAGCCTCCGCCGCGGATGACCACGACCACTACGGCGGCTCGCAACACTTTGACTCTTCGTCGTGCGAAGGGAACCGAATTCGTCTTTCTTAAAAAGACTGAAGCCCAGGAGCTGGCGCTGGCAACTCGTCGGAACACGCGACAAAATAAAGGAGATGCGATGTTACCGAAGTATGTGCTACAGACGTTGGCTCAACAGCCATCGGGTTCCGGTGCTACTTCGGATGACAACAAATCTGCACACGATCCTGGTCGACGAGCATCCTCAAAGAGGGTGTCATGGAACGACGAGCGACTCGTCGAGTACGAAGGTGAGAGTGGAGAGGGGAGTAGCGATGACGCTGCTGGCCGAGGAGGGAAATCTAAAAATTCAGAAAAAAGAAAGGCGGCCAGTAGCCGCACTACGCGTTCACAGGGACCCTCGAAGACTGGTGGTGACATCGAGCCGGCTGCATCCACTACTGCAGCGACTACTGCAACTCCTCGCCCGCGGCGTGTGCGGCGACTGGGAACGCCCAAACCTACTGCAGCCGTTGACGGCAGTGCATCACCGTCCACCAGCATGAGCCCGCCCGAAACACGCAAAAAGCTGACCCCCAAGTCTCCCCGGACGGCACTAACGGGGAGTGGCGCATCGAAAAAAGTCTCCCGTGTCAGCACCCGAAGTGATACTCGAGCGTCATTAGACAGTAGCTCACTGAAGAGCTCAAGTCTTTTCAAGGCCCATGCCGGGTCAACCCCGATGCCAAGGCGAGTGCGATCGTGACCTTGACGGTCCGTCTGAGCATTTTTAACGTATCTTCATGAAGGCTATTTTTCGGCTTGCTCCCCTGGTACAAAGTGTAATAGAGTGAGTGAGTGGGACTCAAGGGCTGTACATATTCATATTCATAATGCTGTCAATATTTGCTTCGACCATTAATGATCTCGGGATTTGGATGGCGTTGGTTTAGACACCGGGGTTTGCGATTTACATCAATAATATTATTCTTGTTGCTCTTTTTGTTTTTTTATTTGTTTCATGTCCTGTTGCCGTCAGCTTATGGGGAGGCAATGAAGAAATCCGGGGGATATGGAGTAAAAAGACGCACAGAGCCTGATCGGCGGTGTTTGTGTCGGTTTGCATGTGATTTATGCAATCTTACCCCAGCCGTCAACCTCATAGCATCAACTTTTTGTTCTTTCTTCTTGAAATGAAACCCGGCTTCCACTCACAGACTCGGGCCTTGATGCCGATCTTTGTCAGATCAACTCTCAGATCTCGCTTAACCTCCTCTAAGGGAATGCTCTCTCGGGAGAAGGCAGCATTCATCATCCTATCCGGGAGATAGGCCACCGAGTCTTTCCGTAGAGGGGCTCGGGATGTGGGATCATCACGAAAAGTAAACACATTATTATGGAGCAAGTCTTATTATCTAGACCCCATCTACTCCATAGTACGGTGCAATCATGATTGTGATGATGAACTACCTGCAGATGTGGTGAAACTGATATCCAGTGTGTTCTGTATGTTATGCTACGATCGTATTACCTTTACTCGTATCGATACCCGACTTCAAGTTAAATACCTCACTTCTCAATGATGATAACTGAACCGGAGCAAACGTGAGAACCCAAAAAGAAAAAAAAGGAATTGGTATAGCCAAATTCCTTTGATGCAGAATGATATCATCCTTCCCCCACCGCTCCCTAACTAAATTCGACCGAGATATCTCCAACCAGCAACCAAAACCCGACCACCATCAAACCATCTCCCGGGAACTATTCTACCTATCGAACTCCGATCTTCACGGTAGAGAAGAACTTGGCTACTCTTAGCAGAATTGGCATCTTCAGTAGCATAAGGAAAGTTTACCTTACTCTTCCCTTGGACCCCTGTCAATAAAAACGTAAACACCTCGACAAGATCTCTGCTACACTGCGGTATGTATATACACTGATACATACATACCATCCTTACTGTCAACAGTTAGGGTTGCCTCTCTATCAAAACGCCTCTGGCTTATCAGGATCCAATGTCTTGGAAAGAGTACCCCCCCCTCCAACCGTCTATGATGAAACATACCTTCCATCTCAACTCACCGGGTATCCATTACCTGAGATAAACCAAATAAAGAAAGACCAACAAGCCAACCATACTTGGCGCAATGCATTGTCCTACGGAAAAGGAATATGGAGCGGGTGTCCCTCGGTTCCTGAACCATACTTGAGTTTGATAGACAAGAACGAACCACTCAGTTACATCCATCGATGTACCTAGTACCTAGTATACTACCTACCACCTACCTACCACCGTATCAACGAAGAGACAGGATAAGAACAGAGCCGACGCTACCCATCTCATCTGCCCCAAAATTTACCAAAAGAGTAAAAAGTCAAATCTAACAATGCCCCAAATTTAATCCCTCAAAACCTCCAAGTGGGAATCCATATCCATCCGCCATCAAATCATGGCAAACCACCGCTCATGGCAAATGTAGGTCGTCTAAGGTACTGTACCTACCTACCTAATACTAAGTGGGCCCTTCCAATCAAACCTTTCCCATTTCATCTCGTGTTCCCCACCACGGAACCCGAGTCTATGATTGCATCCCACGTCATTCCCGGCATGCTGGCTTGGGGGGGGAAAAAAGAAAGGTAGGGTTACGGTTTTGTAGGGTTAGGTTTTGGAATGGTCACGGTTCCACTGGGGTTGCACGATGCTTTACCGGATTGGGAGGTTCGGTGTTTTAGGGCTTTTCCAGATTTGCCCACCGGAGAGGGAAGGGGAGAGGTTCCGAGATTTTCCGATCCATTTTTATTTTTGAGGCTTTTTGTTTGCTGAGGTCGTATTGGTTGTTTTTCTATTCCGGCGTTGTACTCCGTATCTTCTACCTATCGAGGTAGGTACATGTACATGTATTTTGAGATCCTTTACTGTATTGATGGTTGATTGATGTTCGGTAGATGAACTGTTGTTGCTGTTATCTCTATTTGCTTGCTTTACCAGTGTCATTTACAATACACTGTGAAAAGTAAGAACTCTGCTGCTAATTCTGTGGAACTATCCAAAAACTCAATTGAATTTCGTGAACTCAATGAAATGATTATGATATGAACAATGGATAACTAAGGGTAGTTTGTAGTAATTATCGTTGTATCCATGTACCTCTCTGTATTTTCCCTTTACTTTACCGGGGGCCCTGGCGCATAGCGTCATACTACATAACTTACTAAAGCGTTAGCCGACCTGTCGCATGTCATGGAGGACAGTCCTCCGAGTCCACCCTGCTCACCAGTGCTAATTAGTAGTAGGATGCAGGTCGCAGGGGTAACTGCTTCGAGGGATGGTTCCATAGAGCTTCAACCTTCATTGTATTGGTCCTCTCACTTTTATTGCCAAAGGGAGGTGTGTGTGTGTGCTACTGTGCCACTGTGCGCTTGGCGGCTAAAGATTAATTCAAAAATAAATCAATCAACTATTAAAATTTAAATTTGATTATTTTTGAGACTTCTTGGATTTGGAAAATTAGGTATATTGTATATAGATTTATTTGGTTTATTTTTTTTATTATTTTATTATTCTATTCTTTCTTTTTCTTGTATGGTACCTGGTAAATTTTCTATGTTATGTTATTTACAAAGTATTCCATCCAGTTGTGATTGTCATAGGCCGTTACATTTCTTCGTTTGATACTATGGGAATATGTAGCCATTGTATACTATATATTGTTTTTGGCCTCCTGAACAACTCTCCAATTGTTTATGTCCCGCATAAAGAAAAGAAGTCTATTGTCCCATCCAGACCCTGTTTCGTTTAAGCAGACAGGTTCTTGGCGGTCTCCTCAGGCCACACGTCGTAGCCGAAGGTATCCTTCATGTTGACGAAGCGGAAGTGACGGCCCTCGGCAACCTTGTTGACGGCCTCGAAGTCCTCGTCAGTCAGGTCGATGCTCTTGAAGTTGGACTTGATACGAGCGGGGTTGGAGCTCTTGGGGAGCACAACGTAACCGCGACGCAGACCCCAGGCAATGAGCACCTGGGCCAGGGTGTTGCCGCCCTTCTGGGCGATCTCGTTGAGGGTCTTGTTCTCACTGACCCGCTCGCCGGTGGTGGGCACCTGGTTCTGGGAGCCCAGAGGCGAGTAGGCCGCAGGGAGGATGTCGTTCTTGAAGCAGAACTGGACCAAATCGTTGTTGGGCAGGAAGGGGTGGACCTCAATCTGGTTGACATGAGGCTTGACCTTGGCGAACTTGAACATCTTCTCAAGACCGGGAATGGTCCAGTTGGAGACACCGATGGACTTGGCTTTGCCGTCCTCATAGATCTTCTCCATGGCGCGCCATGTGGGCTCGGGGTTCTCAGTGAGATCCTTGAGGATGACGTACTGTGATGGTTCGGTTAGCTTTCCGGACATGAAACCAGGCCGCAGAGGATAATGTGGTTTGCATACCTTGCCGTCAGCGCCAATCTTGGGGTGCTCCTGGTCCTCCTTCTCGGCAGCAATGGGCCAGTGGACAAGGAAGAGATCAATGTAGTCCAGTCGGAGTCTCTTCAGGGAGTTCTCAACAGACCAGATGACGTCCTCGTAACGGTGGAGGTGGTTCCAGACCTTGGTGCAGACGAAGATGTCCTCACGCTTGACCGAGGGGTTCTCCTTGAGGAAGTCATGGATACCATCACCAACCTCATCCTCGTTGAGGTAGAACCAGGCACAGTCCAAGTGACGGTATCCGGTTGTGAGGGCGGTCATGACAGCGCGGTAGGTCTCGCCCTTGGAGCCCTCGCTGGCGAAGGTACCGAAACCGACACCAGGGATCTTAACGCCATTGCTCAGCGTGAAAGACTTTCCGTTCGACATGTTGGGTGGGTGTGATGATGAGAATTGGGGTGGTGGGTATATTGTGAGAGAAAGGGATTCAAAAAATGAGAAGCTTTTAGGGAAACCAGGGGAAAGAGAGGGGTTCGTGGGCGGTATAGTAGGAAAATATAGAAGGAGGGGTATATTTTGGCAAGAGAGAAGCTCAAAGAAAAGGTGGGGTTGGAACAAACAACAAGAAGAACAACCAGGAGGAGGGGTTGCTGGAATTCGACTTAATTTATCTGGTTTACTCAGTACTATGTATACTTGTTCAGTAGGGACTGGTTGATCCCAGGTTACTATGACACTTTCTTCTTCCGGCGATCGCACTTCTCTTCTTTTTCTGTCGAAGTTCCTGGATATCACTTTCTATCATCCGTTCTTGCTCAGTGAGTTCTTTTCTTTTCCGGAAGCGTTCTCTGTAGATGTGAGAATGATGTGATGTGGAAATTACATACATCCACTCTAGTACTTTACGTTACTACAGCTATACAACTACAGACATACAGACAAACAGACATACAGACATGCTACTAGTCTTTCTAGTACACCCGCGATCCCCACTCCATGACGGCATTGTCAACAACAACAATAACTCCAGCGGTTGCAGCGAGAAGGAAAAACCGTACTCCGGACAGGAATAGGAATGGGGAATGGGACTGAAATGAAATGAAAAATGCACTTACTTACGGGACTCCACCAGCCGAGAAAGCCGCCATGACATCACTCGATTTCAGAGTCGAAACGGCGCGAGCGTTTGACCCGCCAGTCGCCCGCTCGATCGTCATCGTCTCCATCGATCTCAAGCGCTTCCCATGGGTGGAAATCTTTGACGGCCAATTATTCGCCACACTAGGGACCCGCTGGAACCTCTCCTGTCCAGTCATCGTGCAGGATGGCTTCATGCTGGTTCGGAGGATCAGCTATTTGGATGCTCGTTCGTTCAGTGAGGGAAGGGAGGGAAGAAGTCGGAGGGGAGGAGGGTTGGTTACAAAAGAAAAAAAAAAAAAAAAAAAAAAAAAAAAAAAAAAAAAAAAAAAAAAAAAAAAAAAAAGAAGAAAAGGAAAGGAAAATTGTTGTAGTTGTAACCCTCCCGCCCCGCTCTCCTGCACTGGTCGGGACTAGCCTTAGGCAGCTCTCTGCAGGCCTGCACTGATGATGGTGGTGGTGGCAGAAAAAAGCGGACGAGGCTGGCCCAACTCTTACCTACTCCGTAGTGGTCAAGTACCAAGTACCTTTTCAGGTAAGGAACTTGGAAGGTATTACACTTTCCCAATACCACAGGGTCCTTGGATGGTCAGTAATTTTACAATACGAGGGCCACGATCCACGGGTAACTTCCTTTGCGACGCTGAAAAGGGCTTAGAGGGACTCCGCCGTACCCACAGCAGCGTATCTCGCCAACACCGAATCAGGTCTATGCAAATGCCCAAATTCGTTGATGACGATAATTCTCAGGAATTCATCTATGATGATACGCCTTCGAAGGGA